CTTGTTTTCTTACTTCCGAATGCGACAAGCAAGTCGCAACCGATGGATCAGATTATAAAAGTCCTTAATAAAGGCTACAGAACACGATTGATACATCGCTATCTTAAAGTAATGGAAGACGCTGACAGCAAACGACCCTTGACAGTGCATGATGCCAACCTAAACATTGCAGTGGCATGGTAAGCAATTAAGACTGAAACCATACAATATTGTTTCAAGAAAGCAGGTTCCCAAAATAACAAAGCTAACGTCGTGTTGGAAAAAGAGCCCACGATACTGCAGGTTTTTCCTGGATATTCTTAATAGGCCTTAAGTGATGATGATGAAGATGAAGGAGAATCAATTCCAATTTTATCAAACACAAAGACATTATTAGCAGTAAACGATTTAATCTATTCTATATGCTATTTAGGTGCTATGTATCTTCTTTCGGGGACAGTGAAGACGCATTGCGAAAGTTAAGTTATATTGAAAGCCTTATCCAATAGTAATGCATCAAAATCCTTGGTCAAACCAAAATAAATGATTACTAAAAGTAATGTCATTATGAATAATAACTACATTACTTTAAGTAATAATTTACTATGACGTAACGTACTTAAATACATATACATATGTATAATATTTCTAGTAAATCTACGTTTCTAACAAATTTATAAATATACCTATAATTCAATACCTACACTTTCCCTATCCCGCATAATAAATACGCTTTCCCGCTTAAGTCGCGACTTTGGCTGGGCCCCTTCAAAATCGTTTTAAGCGAGTTTTACTGTATATCTAAATAATAGCCACTTTATTTAACGAGATAAATAATTTAAACGATTACAAATAAGTGTAACAGTTGGTGTATAAACAGATTACAAAAAATTACGCATCAGTCTTAACTGTAACATGTTTATTGTAATTTTTGTTACAAAGTGTGCGTTATAAAAAACCTTTTCTAACTTCTGTCTAATGCTATTTTAAATAGAGTATAAATATCGTTTCTTGACCTGAGCCATTCAGCGTAGTGGCTGGCGTTCTGATTTTCCGAGTGCGTATAACCTGGACCTCTTCATGGTGCGTGTTAACAGACTTCTCCTGGGCAAACTTGCTCTATCGTAGACCTCAAGATTGAGCCCATTTATAATAATAAAAAAGTGAGTGTTGAAATCGCCAATGATCACTATCTCTGCAGATAAGTTCTGTTGAAGTTCGGAATCTGTAGTCATTTTGACATGGTCGATGAGTTGCTCTGCGTTGGCTTTACCGCTGTGGGATCTATAGAAGCACTCGTAGACGCGTATATGCGAGACTGCCGAGACGTCAAGAACAGATATACTCTCTGACGTATACGCAAATTAAATATACTAAACCTAATGTGCTGGTTAATGTTAATTAAGGCGCAGGTTGAGCAAAATGTCGCGCTAGTCGTTATTTGTGCGGTTTTTAGGAGCTATCTACTTTTTATTTAAAAGATATATCAACAAATAAAAAACACATTATATTTCTACATAATCTTGATTCCATAAGAGTCATATCCAATTTTTTTTAAAGGAATAAATATTAAAATAATCTCCTTACAACGAAACCACATAAATGTGATATAATTATTGATAACATGCATCTCCTCGTAAAGTAAGTATTATTTTATTTTGCGATTTATACCAATGGATAGCCAATTTATTAATGAACATTTCTATCATAATTTTTTTTCAAAACACCTAAATTTGATTTTATTGAGAAATTATTTTAAAAACAAGGCTTATTCACTGCCCACGGGCTTGCTGGAGTTAGTGAGCGCTAAGCTCTTGAAGGTGAAACCCGTGTCGTTTGTCACGACGTCAGCCAGCGCACATGCTCGCTGACGTCATCTTATCAATCGATAATATTATTATTACTTATTAGGTTATTTAAAGGTAGAATTATTTGTTTGTTTTGGGTATAATTTTTCGTATTAGTTATACATATATTTGTTGTGTTTTTTACTGCGCGATGAAGCTTTTTGCGAGTATTTTCTTTGAAGTAAATGCTAATAAAAAATGACCATTAGCATGTAAGTTTCGAATCCATAATTAACATTTCGACAAATATTATAATTTACACTATGAAAGGCTAATTCAATATTATCAGTATAGTATACAGTTAAAAATAATCCTAATACCCAACCACAATATCTTAGTAGGTATAGTACTGCCTCGTTGGTCTAGTGGTTGTAGTATTGCGACTGCAGATCATGAGGTCCCGGGTCGGGCCAAAAACTCAGTTATGAGTTTTTCATTTATGTTCTAAGTTATAATTAGTATTACCAAGTTATAGTTTTTTGCTAAATTATAGTATATTATTTATTGCTTGTTTTTTTCTTCTTTTTCAAAAAATAATTGAGTACATAAGGTGTTCTTAATATACGCCGAATGTCAAAGAGAAAAGCTAGTACATCTTTTGCTACACTTTAAAATCGAAAACCAATTTTAAAACAGACGAATTGATCATAACTCCCTTAGCTATAAAATAAGTTATGATCTAATTAATTATATTTATTCCAGTTTATGGCAGCCCTGATTTATATTACGTGGGTGAAATTAGGTACTTTTTATTAGGTACGTCAAACCAAATAACAGCCGGGCCGCTGACATTATGCACTCCATACATTTCTTATATCTAATTACAGCCCCATTTATTTCCACTAAAAGAAAATAAATAACTTGTAAATTCAAACAAAAATAACTGCATTACTATGTCCATAGTCATATTCATACAAATCAAAAAGCCATGAGATAATGTAAAGTAAGCTAATTTTACCGGGATTATAACTTGTCAAATAATTAGGAAAATTATCGTTGTTCGTTGCGTACGTGTTTTGATTTTTAATTTAACATTGTTAGGTTTAAAACTGCGAGGTAATATTAGAATAAATATACTTTCCTCTAGGTACAAAGAATTTTTTAGATGACAATATTTGTAGTTAAGACTACTAGAAATCTTATTTATGGAGCAAAAAGGCGAAAAGACTGGAATTAGGGGCATGACTGGTATTAGGGGCATCCACCCTAATTTGGTAAAAAGTATCTAAGTAGGTATTAATATACCTACTTTTTACTATAAACTAAAAAAATTTAAAACTAAATTTAACTAAAAAAAACTTAACTGACCATTTATTTTTTAACACAAAACATGGGTTTATTTATACTCTAAAAACTATAACTTTATACAATTAGTGTTCACTATAAAATTAATTTCGGTATAGACGTTAATTATTAAATGCAACATATTTTTTTTAATTATTAATTATATTTGTCAGTGGATTAAATTTGCTTTAATAAAGTTGGTGATGATTTTAAATAAGAATAAACTTCTGGTCAAGTTTTTTTATTGTTACCTTTGTTAACAACATCGCCTTTAGAACTGGAACCGTAAGTGTTTTTTTTCAGACGTCCACAATTTATTCAAAATAGAAAAATACTCTTTCTACTGGAGCATTTGTACCAGGTAGACATAAAATATATTCGATTAAAAAAAATTATGATGAAGATTGTTGACTTTGAATACTTCCATCCAGCGAGTTACGGGACAATTTTGTGTCCCGGAGCTTTGTTTGGGGACAATGGGACAGGTGACCGAGAAAAGGGACAGTCCCGTTCAAAACGTGACGTATGGTCACTTTAGCTATAACCCGGCGACGACTCCGTGGCGCAGTGGCTTAGCAATCAGTTGTTGCGCTGGGGGCCGCGGGTTCGAATCCCGCACGGAACAAGTATTTGTATGGCCTAAAAATAATTGTTCCAGGTCTGGATGTTTGTCCTTGTGCAATGTATGTTTGTAAACTGCCTCCACCACACAGGAGAAAATCCTAGTGTGGGGGTAACGTTTTTTTTTTAAATTGAAATTGAAAGATTGAACCCTTATACCTCTTTGTTGATTTTTGTATTACCTTTATTAAAGTTACCCTTTTGTATAAGTAAATATAATTACGTACGTAGAAATAAAATTGATTTTCATCCTCATCAATCATTGGGATAAGGATAATGTCAGCCAGCATAAGTAATAAGCAGGCTAAGTTACAAGGTGCTCAGTTCAAAAATTAGTAGGTAGGCATATTACTTTTCAATACGTGACACGTAAAAATTAACAATAATCAAAAACACATCTTCGAAACATCCTATTTATTGATTTATTCTTTATTGCACCAAATATTTGTACAAAAGGCGAGCTATCTATCTATTTACCTATAGTGAGTAGGTATCTTTTAAACTCACAATTTTCAATGCTTAATTTTTAATATATAATTAATTATAAAATTTCATAATTAGATAATATATGAGAATACATTATTCTAATATAATGCAACTAATATACCGAATAAAAAAATTAAAATACATTTATCGCTGTACGCTGTATTTCCATAAAATAGTTTATTGATGTTGAAAAAATAATACTACGTTCGTACAGTAGGTGACGTCTTACATATTTCTTACGCAATATATTGTAGCGAGTCGGCGCGGCGGACCAAATGCTCAAGGTCGTTCGCATGGAGTAGCCCCTTAATGGAGGTAGTCTTCTAATTGTGATGTTAATTAGTAGATTACATTTACATTTGATGGGCAACACTAGAAAAGAGGGGGCTGAGGGGGTCATTGACGATTCGGCGGATTTTTTTTGACAAGGCTTTTAACTTTTTGGCTTCATTTCATTATTTTGACATTTCGATGTCAACCGCTACGTATTTCATTGAAAAAAGTTCATTATTCCTAGTTTTTCGCTCGATCTCTACATAATTCACTTGAAAAAGAGGTTAAAGACTTGCAATGGTGATTATCTTTAGAGGTATCTAAGGATAAGCATTAAAAATTTTAGGAGAACCATGTGACACGAATACGAAAAAGGGCTACCAGACCGTCAATGTGACAGAAATGTTTTCTGCCATCACGACTATCCAGTGCCACTACGGAGCCCACACGAGTACGACGTGCGATCATCGGATAGTGATATAGGGTAAGGGCGTTAAAAATGAGCGCGAGATGGCTAGTCCACCACGGAACCCTAGAGAAGGCGAGCAGGGCGGCTCTGAATTCTCGGAGGAGACGAGCAGGGAACGCCCGACCGCCCCGCAAAAGACGTTCATAGCCCCTCCCGCTTCGCAACTACCTACTAAGTTGCAGTATGTTACGCGACGTGCAGCTGGCCCTAGTGGTATTAAGAATGTCTATCCAACGGTGAAGACGGCGCGACGTGTGCCTACGTTGCCCGGGAAACCGAAGGAGGTCACGACGAGTACAGCAGGCGTTGAGAGGCCAGGCTCTACAGCTGTGACTCCGCCTGGGCGTAGCGCACGTCGCGATCGCAACAAACGGCATGTCTGCACCACTTGCGACAAGCGCTTCTCCAGCCCTGGTAAGCTTAGTCAACATGTTCTATCTCATACTGGTGAGCTTCCATTTTCTTGTGAGCTATGTGATAAACGTTTTAATTCCAAATTTAAGCTTGTACGTCATGGCCTTATTCACAGTGAAGCTCGGGCTTTCACATGTAATATTTGTGGTAAGTCTTTTAATAGGAAAGATCATCTAAGTAATCATGTTCGTATACATAACCCAGTCAAAAAAATGTATACATGTGAAAGGCCTGACTGTAGAAAATCATACACCTCTCAGCTGAGCTATCGTAAGCATGCTGCTCTGCATTCTGCGGAGGAAGGCAACCTGCAATGTAAGATCTGTGATGAGACCTTTAATTCTCGGCAGGAAATTGTTTATCATCTTAAAGTGCACTCTGGCAGCCGTACAGTAAAAAATGAAACCGATAAGAAATTTACATGTGATTATTGTGAGAGGAGATTCTTTACTGCAAAAGATGTACGGAGGCATCTTGTTGTGCATACAGGTAGACGAGATTTCTTATGCCCTTACTGTCCTCAAAAGTTTGGGCGCAAAGATCACTTGGTTAGGCATGTCAAGAATGCTCACCCTGACAAGTCGTGGAGATCTGCTGCAGTAGGTACATCCAAAGAACCACCACCAGAAGCCTCTGGTTTAGAAGAGAGTTACTCTGAGTTTCCCATAGAAGGAATGGATTTCAAAATCTGGAACCCCTCATCTCCTAAAGCAGGCACATCTGAAGGACGGACAAGGGTGCCATCTACTGATATTATAGTGGAAATTCCACCAGATCTGGATATAAAAATAGAACCGTTAGAAATAAAGCAGGAGATACAAACTTCACCAAGTTATGAACCCTTTCCTTCAGAGTATGATGTATATGTTATCCCCTCAGCATATCCACAAACGCCGTCCAACTTGCCTTACATACCACAGCCATTGACTGAATCTGAGCATTTGCTTGACCCTGGTAGTGTTCAGTCTATATATCTAGATCCAGGGGAAGGGACTTCATCATTATCAAGTGAAATGCTGATGTTAGAAGATAGTAAGCCACCATATGTGGCTGAAGAGGGTAGGATCCAACGATTACCAGCATTTACGCAAGCATTTCAGACTACACAGAGTCCAAAACCTCCACCACCCCCACCACCGCCACACTAACCTTGCCCAAAAAGGGGTAAGTTTCTTGCATTTAGCTTTTGTTATTATAGAGCTACCTCATTAGGTAAGGTTAGTCTAGGCTGTAATATATAGTCTGGAAAGAACAGTAGTAAAAATAATTAATTTTTTATTTTATTTTTTAAATAAACCTGAAGGATGTCTTCAGAAAGAAATTGCCAAATTATAATTATGTTTTGCCTGTCTCGGATATACCAAATGTTTCCGAATTCTACATGAATGTGATCTAGTCGTGTATGTACTTTCGGAGTTGTAAATTGTTAATATATAGTGAACAAGTATGGCATTTTTGCAGTATAAATGGGACCAACTCTGTGAGATATTACATAAATCCAGTAGTTCATAGTTTTCGTTGGGTCATTCAGAATTGTGTAGGTTGACAATAATATAAGTAAGTAATCAAGCATGAAGGAAGGCAAATATGACTCTTGAAAGTAGTATGCTATATAATATGTTAAGAGAGGCATGCTGCTTTCCAATGTGAAATTATAATACAACAAAGAGCATATACCTTGTCCTATTTGAAAGTAAATAAGTGCAACCATAGTGTGGCTACCATCAGATCTGTTAATAATATAGAAAAGTGTACAGAGTGAATGACAAGCAATTTAAAAAGTGGGATTCATCCTCATTCTATATCTTAGAATGATTTTGAAATCCTTGAAACTGCTTTCTTTAACAAGCAACAAAATGCAATAAACTACCTTAATACCTCAGAAGCATTTAATGCTTCCTTAGCATATAAGGCAATAGAATTGGGTCATTGTGTGATAAGAAAATTTAATAAAAGATTGAGTTTAAATCTTTTCATTTCTATAATATGTGCCAAGAATATTTCAACTCTTATATTTTTTAATTAATACAGCTAGAGCAGATAAAACAATTCTCTCATTTAAGTTGATATTAACTATAAAAGAGGTTAGGACATGAAACAAATTGTATTCAGTTTTAAAATATGAAATTAATTCACTAAATTCATATGACAAAGAGTTTGCAATTAGCATTGAAAGTATGTTTAGTAAAAATTAATAAAACTTTAAGAAAAGTTACTTGTTGGATGGGTTCCAGTGTAATTAGGTACTCTGCAATTTGTAATAATTTACACTTATAAAAAAATGGTCCGAATATATAATTTATAATAATCTGACAAATAATAATGCACAAGATGTATTTTTTGATTTATATTTCAACATTAAAAAGAACTAAGTTCACATATAACTAACATAATAAAATATTTCTTATATACTTGCAAATTTTTATGCCGTTAATTGAATCATACCTTTTTGATAGCGGTATTCTGAAATTGTAGTGAGTAGCAAAACAAGAAAGTACTGCAATCATTTATAGATTGTTGAGGATTTCCAAGTAACGAGATTCAAATTACTTATTTTTGATAATTAAGATCAACTATTACAGAAGAAAAATAATCCGAAAGTGTGAACACTTTTTGAAGGTAGGCAATTTCAGTGAGTTCATCAAATCTTTTTTTAGGAAATATAGAATATAATAATTAATGAAAAGCAATTTGTTGCGTCTAAGACCACAAATTTTTATTATGTTCACACTGGTAGTTTAGCTGCTACAAAATTTATATTTGAGTGTCAAGCTATATATTTTATGGGCATGTCTCATTACATCTTCAATAATATGTTAAACAGTAGTAATGTAAATGTTAAGTTTTAAATTGTAGTTTGAGTTTTCATTCATAAATTTTACTTTCAATGTTTGGCGTTAAATGTTATAACTACATAGTAGATCCAATGTTGTACACGCTTCATATTATAGAATATGTAAATAATTCTAATTGTTTAGGTTAATAGGTGTAAAAAAAAATTTAATCTACCTCAATTGCAACTTATTGTTATGTTTAGAAATTTAATTATTTTAGGTTAGTCAAGGAAAAAAAAACAAAGTTAAATTTTCTTTTTCTGTATAGAAAATACATAAAAATGGTTATTATTAATGTGTGCTGCAAAATCGAAATCTTTATTGGTGTATCATTAAGTTTGTATCATTTAGCTTTCTTATTTACAAAGAAAATAAAATAACTAGAATCATAGTCACTTTCTTTCATCTGAAGTAATAATTTAATTTTAATTAAATTTAAAAAAAAAAACAAAAATATTTTTCCTTTAAAACAATTTTTTTATATTTTAAGAAAAATGTTTTAAAATTTCCAATGCTTATCTAAAAATTATGTTTTTTTAATATCCATTTCAAGAAATAATTCTAATAGTGCAACTGCTCCAGGTTGTATTTGTGTAGCAACTCATACTTTTTAATTCCATATTGATAGCTTTCATATAACACAGACTATTTATTTTATAGCTAGTCATATTTTATAGCAGCACATAACAACTCGGAAGTATTTTTTGAATCCTCCAATATACACTGATATTAATAGGTTGTTTAAATAGTGGCGTTTGTTGAACATTAAACTTTTGAGCAAACATCAAACAAAATCTCATATCATTATATATTACTGTATTATTTATTTTATAAGCTGCTGCCATCATATTTTCTCTTTATTTCATTAATTTTAGTTTTATGAGTAAATTCAATATGCAGAAATAGATTGTAATTGATTAATATTCAACAAACGCCAGTGTTATGGATTATTTTACCATTGAGTGCAAACAGTACAAAGTCATAGCGCAATAGATTCTGCTTATACTTTTTAATATTGTTACAAAATATACAACGATGAATGCAATATATATCATAGTATTGTAGACTTTTAGACAGTATATTGAAAACATATTGGTTAACATGTCATAGACTAGCCATTGTTTATGTTACAGTCAAAATTCATAACTGGTCAAAACCACTTTTGACTGATTTTTGCACTCAAAAGTAGTTTAGACTAAGGACTAGTCTAGTCGAATTCACTTTTAAGTGCAAAAATACTGGGTAATTTGACCAAATTACATTGGTTAAAAGTGGTTTTGACCAAGAATATTAGTCAAATCTACTTTTGACTTATCCTTTTTGAATTTTTGAAATTAAAAATATCAATTCCTTCAATATTATATTTTATATCATTATAAGGCATGCGGCTTTAGGATAGCCCTAGGGCCACACCAGCCACACCAGCCACACCAGCCACACTAGCCATACCAGCCATACATTAACCTACTGCCACTGGTATTGCGAGTTTTGCCCGATAGTCTAAACTTTAAATGAGACAAAATTACTTTTGACTAAGAATGTAGGTCAAAACCACTTGACTACAAAAATCAGTCAATCTGTTTTTGACTAAGGTGATCGGTCAAAACCGTTTTTACCTGATTTTGCAGTCAAAAGTGGTTTTGACCGGTTATGAGTTATGACCGTGGCATTTATATTTGATTCCTGTCACATGTATCTGAAGAGTTTATTACTAATTGTATTTATTTATTTAACTGTTGTCAGCTGACGATAAAAATTGTATGTATTTTGTCTTGTAACACAAAGTGTTCAATTTTTCCTTTTTATTGGGAATATTATAATGCATAATTATTAATGTAATTGTTAATTTTTGTATCCCAGTTTTTTATGATAATGAGTGTGACTCGTTATTTTTTAATTATTTTTAAATCTAAAACATGTTGTGTAATGCCAAATAATTACATAATTTTATTTTGACTTTAAATCCTGTAATATTTCGAATATTTTTTTTTTATGTAAACTATCTTAAAAGTAAGTTCAGTAACTGCAACGAAGATGCTACGAGTTGGAAATAGGAAATAAGCTTTTTCCATTTTTATTCATTTGTACCTGTATCACTAATAATGCATTGAGTAAAGCAATATATGACTTAAGAATTTCTCCAGCCTAACATAATAAAATATCCATCAAGTGTTTATCTTTTGGTGTGTACTGCAGAGTTGGTTTTATGAAATACGGTATTTTTTTACTGTTGGTAATTAACAGCAAAATATATTTATAATTTCATATTTATAAATCTTTTTTTTTCTTTTTAATTATTTATGTTACAATTCTAACTCGTAGCAAGCCGTGATACTGATCAAGTAGGTATACGTAATTTTGGTACATAATTTAGGGGCCTTATTAAAAGAAAAAAATGTAGGTGTTTTTTTGAATTATATCTTAAACAAAAAATATTTTTAGAATTCTTAATGTTTTAAAAGAAAGGATCTATTTTTGTTACACTTTTTCAAGTATGTAATAAAACATTTTATAATAATTGTTGGAATTTACACACAAATTTGTATATAATATGTTGGAGTTGGAAATGAATAAATTTTATATGAACACAAAATTGGATCAAAAAATAGGTAGTTAAATTATCCGGCATCTACATTTGTTAACATTTTTGAGAAATTTTGTCATCACCCTTTTAGTTAACATTTTTAAAAGGATCGTATAAACTACTATAATGCTTAAATGACATTTTAATCTATTATGATATTATGTTCGTATTACAAAATGACTCTTTATTCACAGAATTACTAATCATTCCTAACGTGCCCAGCCTCACAGTAAACATATATTATAAGTTAGAAGATACATGATCTTTAGATCATACTAGACAAAGAGATCTCATTATTATGACATACATGTCAATTCAAGTATAACCTGTTCGTGCTAAGTTTGCCGCTGACGACGTTTTGTAACTCAAGCGGTAACATCAGCAAAAAAAAATTAAGACTTATTAATTTTTTTATTAGTCAATAAAACCCAGTGCAATTAGGTAAAATTAGTCACATTAATTTTATTTAAACACTCTTTGTCACTGGAACTTATTTCCGTATCATTCTTTGAGTCTGCCCTTTCCGAAATTATGAGTTCCTTTTCATATAATTCCTGCAATCGATGGTTTTCTTAATGTTGCTGCCTCAATCTATCAATGTGATTGATTTCTCTCTTCTAATAATCTGTAGAAATACTTTTCAAACAATCGCGTGTTAACTTTTAAATTTATTTTATTGGTTGTTTTTTTTTTCGGCCACTCGCCGTTTTTTTATATTTTAAATACTTTATTTGATTTAGATCACATTAATAAAGCGGAAGCCGTAATAATTTGTGACGTGATTTCATATATCTCATTCTCATATTTTTTGGGCGGCGCGTTCAGCTGTATATTCTTTTCGGATCAAAGTTTCATATAAGTAAAACAACAGTTTTTTATGCCCTCTAAGTTTATAATTTTCCTGCACTAATCGTAAATATCTTGCCCTCCATGCAGTGATTTCTGGTTTATGTATCGAAAAATCGCGGGCCTTTTTACATTTTTTGAACTTATAGCCCAGCTTGTCATTTAATATGTTCCACATTCTTTTTTTGCCCAAGAAAATTTGATTCCTTCGCCGCGGCTACAATTATTCGTACAGTGGGTGTTTTTTTAAGAGTGTAAAAGCTGTTTATTGACGTTATATTTCTTTTGGGACGTTTGGAGAAAATGTTGAGAGTGAATTTTTACGATGCGCGCGCACACTTACACCTAAAAACGACACCATGAAGTTGTTACGATGCGCGCACACACTGATACCTAAAAGCACCATCTTCAGTGGGTAATTAATTGTCTCTCAAGATTTTTTGTTTTGTTATACTAAAGAAGTATAACTTCCTACGTGCGTACATAAGTGAACACACACGCACACACGTTTTATATATTTCTAATACTGTAAATCATTAAATCATCTATTTCAAATTTTCTGCCGACTTCCAAAAAGGAGCCGGTACTCAATTCGACTGTATGTTTTTTTTTTTCGTTTTTTTTTTATATGTGTGTTACCTCAGAACTTTTTTCTGGGTGAACCGATTTCGATGATTCTTTTTTTATTTGAAAGCTGGTACTTCTCGTGTGGTCCCATATGAATTTGATCAAGGTCAGACCAATAGTTTTTAAGTTATTCTTAAATAACTTATATTGAAGTCGGCTGTACAAAATTTTTAATTTTAAATTATTGTTTTCTATTTCTTTCGTGGTGTCGAGAGTAACAATTTCCGCACTCCTGCCGGCTACAGATGACGCTGACGCTATTTTTTCACCTTTTATTTTATTATCTAATCGAATCCTATAGTTCCGTTATACTTGTCGCTATTGCCGTGCGTTTCATAGCTTGATAAACAGCTTTTAATAAAAGACCCTTGTCATTTTTCATTTTCAAAAAAATGTTATAACCCTCAACACCATATTATATAAATCACTTCGAAGGTCTTTCTATGGGTAAAGATCCATAGTTCTAACATAGAGAGAAAAAAGTATCAAATATCGAGAATACTGAAAAATATTAAGGTGCCGAATAAATAATCACATACGCTTGCGATGACCTTGCTTACGGTACTGGGAGGGCAACTCTTTGGTACGGTAGGCGGTTGGGCGAGGGGACGCGTATTCCATGGACCGGTAAACGTAGCGCGATCGGCTTGTCATTATACAATGTACATGCTTGTTTCAAATATAAAGGAAAAATCACTCAATTTTAACTTAGGATTCGAGTTTACTTATCATATGATAAGAAACTGCATTTTTTCTTAATTTTTACAGTTATATAATATGTCGAGATACTAATTTTTTCACAGCGATGCATACAATTTTCTTGATAAATATTACACATACAACCTAATACAAAATTAATTTTCTGTATTTAAAAGCACGATTGACGGTACGATTAATCTATTGTATGATTTATCACTTAAACAGTCTAAAATTTCGTAATAAAAAAGCTGTTATCACATTTCTGTAATTGCAATTTCCAACTTCAACATATTGAATCACATAGAAATTGTTATTTATGATATCAATAGCAATTTTGTATTAGTACTAACATAAACGAATATACCCTCGCAGGACAACCTATTGAATAATCATGAACATTGTACCTGGTTTATAATAACATGATGTAATATGGTCTTCAATATAATAAATATTTTGGACAGCAAATATTTTGCAAGTTTTCTTATATTTAAACGCCTTCATACTAACAAAATAGTAAATAAATATGTCTGATTTGGGATTGTATAATATGAAATCTGTAGTAATATGATAAAGAATCAATCAGTTCTTTGTGAAATTCATCATATCAATGATGTGAAATTAGGTGATAAAGATCCGCGGGAAAAATGTAATGGTGTGTATTCCCTAGTTTGAAGACCACTTTTCTCCCTTCAACAATTGCGTGCAGTAAGCACTGCCACTAAACCCAACACTACACTAAGGAAATATATAATAACATTGTTGATTCATGTGTTACCTCTAAACGAAGCATCATTAGGAAAAATAGACTGTGATGAATAATCGCAGTGTCGAATGAATTCGGCTGCCCATTTGCACAAAATAAGCCGACGCAAACCTCGCACTGTTAATGCTGCTATCCATACCCAGTCTGTGGTATTTGGATGTAGAATTTTGAGAGCGTTGGTCAGGTAGCAGCTTGGCATTTTTTGAAAAATTTGGCAACAATTTTTTCAAACTGATATAATCTTGGGAACGTTTCTAAAAAGCCGCGAATACTACAGCAATTCTGACATGACCACTTACTAACAGGTGAGCCGCATTCTCGTTTGTCCCTCACTTAAAAACATTCCCCTTGCGTCTTGAAGAGTGAAGCTAAGAAACGTAACACAGATGGACAGAATATTTTTCGTGTAGCAGCCTTTTATTGGCAAGTGCTGTGTAGGGCGGACCTGGTACTCCCCCACACTATGTGATAAACGTCCAGTGAAGTGCAAGAAGTCAAATGGCTCAGGACCGTGCTGTGTTAATTGGGATGAAGGCTTTGGGTTCAGCAGTGGACTTTTGATGGACTTGGATGATTATGATTAAAAGAAGCAAAAGTAAAATTACGGATTCTTATAAGCAAAGGATCCGATCACGCATTCAAGACCTAGAACTGCATCATGTTGCATTGTTACACCTGACGTTGCATCCACATCATCTAAGGGACATTTGCAGACGCTTACTGATGTTTAAAAAATAAAGTATGTGCTTCGTATTTGATGATACAGATATCTGCATAACATCCCCAATTCTAAGTATTTATATTTGTTTTCAAATGAACAAGAATTTTAAGACATACATGTATACAAATAAAACAATTTTATGCAGCCAATATAGATGAAATATATTTTATTGCTGATCAATTCATTAACAAATAACACATAGACTTAGAAACCAGAGATAACAAAATAAATATGTACCTAATCCACGGTAAACAGAGAAAAACGAAAGAAATGCAGACAAGACAGTCTAACTATAAACACGAAATTTTTATACACAGAATGTTCTTTCAACTTCATCATAAAATTTTACACAGATATAAATTCAATATTATAAATATACAGTACTGATGACTATATTGAATAACATCATCAATTCCAGTATCTAAAATTCATATATATCTGAATTAGAACTAAAACAAAATTGTACTAAAATACTAATACCCTCAAAGGTAGCGGGATGAGGCCGCCGGTTGTAGTATAATTTTAGAAAAATATCGCTTCGTAACAATGTGTTAGGGGGCTCTTATTGGCCTTGATAAATGCACAAGTTTACACCAGTCACCGAAATAAGGAATGTTCATACGAAGTCCCCTTGGCCCGTGCACGCGACTTTGTGTCGCAACCTGTTGACAAATTGGAAAGCTAGAAAGAATCATTTCACTGTTCGTCGCTTGATTTTTCTCACTTTTCCCGTCTTTGACGGTTTGCCTTTCAGCGATATGCTATCTAGATTAGGTAGTTCTATGTCTGTAGTGTTCTCGGATTTTTTGGTGTGGTATATTGGATTGTCATTGGCATCGTGATCGGAGCTGTCCACCCCATTTTCCATTCTTATGGTATTTACATAGGTCTGTGATGTATCCATGTCTTCATCAGAGTCTTGATAGTTACCATTCGGTTCATGGCGTTTGTATTGGAAAGCTCTGTAATTGACATCTTCATCGGAATCTGCCGACGATCTGACTCTGTAACGCCGGTTGATGTTTTGAAGGGACTGGTTCTTCTGTAGCTCGCCATGTATGGAGTCGCGAAGATTCATCTCGGAGGTTGATTTTGTACAATATTCTTCTCTATCAGACTCTGAGTACTTTCTAGATAGGCGACGTGGTAAAGGCTGGTCCTTCTGTTCTCTATGTTCTCTGGTGTCGTTGGTGTACTGAGTTGGAGTCTGGTGCATGGTGGGTGATCGGAGTCTGACTTCGGGTCCGCCGCCATAGATGCCCGTGAAAAATCTCCACAGCTCCTCGCTTAGTTGGGCGTGATCTGAACCTGGCTTCAATGAGTATGTTGTTACACCGTCTATTTCCTGAAAGAAAAGATATTTTTGTCATTATATTATTCATACTTAATATAAGTTTGTTTTACGTTTACAACTTTACATTTTATATTTCGGATCTTTGATCAATGTTTACTTGTCTACATTTTCATGTAAACATCACATACCATACATAAATTCAGTAAATGGTTGGTGTAATGCTTATCTAAATATTTAAAGAGCTACATTGGCAATGGAGAACAGGTTCTGAAATGCAGATTGTCTCTCAAATAGGGATAGCCTGATGTCCAGTGGTGGATTATTATAAAGCTTTCCTGGCCGGATGGCATAACATCTGAATACTGACTGGAACTTATTTCTACTGTTATCCCAGGGTAGGGTGATTTTAGCATAACCGATACGCTTAGCAGGCGGGTTGGCAATCGTAACACCAGACGTCTTGTACCATTTACGTTGCACCACGTCACCAATGATTTGGGTATTTTGAGTCAGAAGTAAACAAGATAGTTGTAATGCTCTGAAGCCATTAAACTTTTCGGGTTTTCCCTATAGTAGCCTTATTACAAAATCCAAAGGACGTAATGGGGTGATGGATTCTCTTAGGCTGTTGCCACATTTAATTATAATTTTTTAATGGTGATAAGGGAAAACATAGTAAGGTAGCTTGCATTTGCGAGTAATTAAACAATCTTAGTGAAGTCTTCTCTACTCTCAAGTCTATTGGAAATTAGAGTTTTTCGGAATGCTTAGTGGAAAGTAGGGTTTATTTAATTTTTCCAAAGTTAGGGGCATGAGGATGGTCACAATAAACAGATCATAACAGGCTTAAATACCTTAACGAGTTTCGATGTTTCGAAATTAGCAATTACGGACAAACGTTTGCTCCAAGCTAGGAAATGTTGTAGGTATTTGGAATATGTAGCCATTTTTTAACCGACTTCAAAAAAGGCGGTTCTCAATTAGATTAAGTTCTTTTTTTGGTATGTGTTCCGCGATATCGTCGACAATTGTAAGCCAATTTTAATGATTCAGTTTTTGTAAATTAGAATCATTGAAGCACATCCCTAAAGGGTGGAAAAATATGGGGTTGTGTGGTGTAAATTAATTTAAAAATCCCTTAATCAAATCAATCCGGCCATCAAATGTTTGAATTAATTAATAGGATAACTTAAACAGTTTGTGGAAAGGATGTTGGAATTGAACTAATTCTACAATGATCGATTCTACAGCTTGCTGGCTGATTGCATCTTTTCATTTATCTAATATCCTCTTGACCGAATTTCGAATTTGTGCAGGAATTATATTATAGTACACAAGTATTTACGCAAGCGAAGGTGCACTCTTATTCACTCACTCACAGTCCGACGAGACTGTAATTCGACACCACCGGAGAGACATCAGGTGCAGGACCAATATGCTTTTTGAGTGAAACACTGTCAACTTCCTGATACCGAGCTACTACTACTGAAAATACTTTGACAGAATATCTCAATTACAGATCTTGATCCGATCCGGGATTTAACCTAGGACCAGAGCGGCGCCATTTTGGAATGAGGTGAAATATTTGACAGATTCCATTGCAAGTTGTTATAAAAGTTTTTTTTAATGAAATATTTATTACATTTTGTATTCATTAGATTAGAAATGGATAAATGAAAATACGGATATTCCTAAACTAAAAGAATTAAAAAAGATTGAAGAAATGTGTAAAAAAATTAAAGAACAAACTACTAAGGCATTAGTTTTTATTCTTTTTTTAAAAACGCTACCCTACACTAGGATTTTCTCCTGTATTGTGGAGGCAGTTTATAAACATAAATTGCAAAGGGACAAAAATCCAGACTCGGAACAATTATTTGTAGGTAATACAAATACTTGTTCCGTGCGAGATTCTAACCCGCGGCCCTTAGTGCAGCAACTCATTGCTAAGCGATTGCGCCATGGGGCCGTGAGTTTGTGTATTATAAATAAGAAACTGAAAAACTTTTGTATAAAACTTTTTAATGATGACATTGTGTGACCATCCGCGTGACAAATGAGTTCACCCTAGATCCAACTAGCGGCATCTGGTGAGTGTAACGTTGTTAGTCCTCATTCGGCATTTAACTATACAACTGTGGGTTATAAACAATTGAGTTTTTTCCATAAAATACGGGTGACAAACGAGCACACAAACCTCCCGATGGTAAGTGGATGCTGTGGCCCATAGACATCTACATCTATCCCCGATTAAGAATCAAAATGCACATACCTTTTGAATATGTAGTGTAGTCTCAATGTGTAATGTTCGCGTACATATAAGAAATCATAATGCACATATGTTGTTACCCCTGAGGACTAAGATGGAATGCCTCGTTTTCTGTAAAACGGATCTTCGGTTCTCTACGCTCACTATACGAAATACAGCAGCATTAAGTTGCTTTTTTATGCTGGTATAAGGTGAGAGAGTGGTCTTTCCCAAGTCGAGCCGACCCATTCACCATAATATAAGTGCAGCATGGCTCTATCTCGCATAAAACGGATCTGTAAACTGAAATTGCAAGAATCGACAACTGAAATGGAAGAAATGTTCTAGTAGTCTATAAGTAGATGCAAATGTCTCAAGGCTGTTTTATTGGCAGTTATTTGTGGAGGTCTATTTTAAGCAGTAAACGAATGACGGGCTGTGATAATGAGCCAATACAATATATTACATAATATATAAAATTCCGTTTGTCTGTAGTATCGAAATAACTGCCTTTTATAAAAACAGATACTTCAATTTTATTTCTATGTATAGATGGACATATAAACCGCGGATTTCACTTTATACATTCAGGTCGATGGCTGTCAGACATATGTAGTGTAGTCTCAATGTGTAATGTTCGCGTACATATAAGAAATCATAATGCACATATGTTGTTACCCCTGAGGACTAAGATGGAATGCCTCGTTTTCTGTAAAACGGATCTTCGGTTCTCTACGCTCACTATACGAAATACAGCAGCATTAAGTTGCTTTTTTATGCTGGTATAAGGTGAGAGAGTGGTCTTTCCCAAGTCGAGCCGACCCATTCACCATAATATAAGTGCAGCATGGCTCTATCTCGCATAAAACGGATCTGTAAACTGAAATTGCAAGAATCGACAACTGAAATGGAAGAAATGTTCTAGTAGTCTATAAGTAGATGCAAATGTCTCAAGGCTGTTTTATTGGCAGTTATTTGTGGAGGTCTATGTTAAGCAGTAAACGAATGACGGGCTGTGATAATGAGCCAATACAATATATTACATAATATATAAAATTCCGTTTGTCTGTAGTATCGAAATAACTGCCTTTTATAAAAACAGATACTTCAATTTTATTTCTATGTATAGATGGACATATAAACCGCGGATTTCACTTTATACATTCAGGTCGATGGCTGTCAGACTGTCCGTTGCTTCAACTCGATTTGTAGGGTAAGCAAATTCACGCAAATTTCATATGTGTGTGTGCGCGTGTGCGTATGTGCGTATGCACGCGCGCGCGTGTGTGTGTATGTATGCGTGCATGTGCGTGTGAGCGCGTGCGTGTGCGTGTGCGCGTGCGCGGTACCTGCGCGAGCACGATGGGCGTGTTGTCGACGGGCGGCGGCGGCGGCGGCTGCGGCGCGCGGCTGCGCACGAAGCCCTGCCACAGCCGGAACCACGCCATGCTCATCGCGTAGATGGCGCGCGGCTGCTCTTGCTTCTGAAAAACAATACCACATTTTTTTTTAATAAAATAAGGGTGACAAGCCAGCATACAGCCCACCCTGAGATGGTAAGTGGATGCTGTGACCCATAGACATCTACGTCCATCTTCGGTTAAGAATCAAAATACAGATGCGTTGTCACCCTTGAGGACTAAGATAAAATGCCTCATTTCTAGTAAAAAGGGTCTCCGGTTCTCTACCCTTACCATACGAAACACGCCTAACCTACTATTTTAAGCTGGTATTCCGTGAGAGCGTGGCCCCTCCCCGGTCGAGCCGACCCATTCGTGCTAAAACCGGTAGCAAAGCCTCCATAGAAGCCGAAAAGGCGGGCTTGCCCTATGAAACTGTTCAATCAATATATAATCAATCAATAATATCAACTAATAAAATAACTAGTATACTGTTTTAAACTATTTCAAATTTTCCGCGCGCTCCTCTGTTCTACTCAGTTTATTAATCGTCACGGCAAAACTGCGCGACACTGCTGTCATAAAAAGGAGTGGAGATGAACGATTAGTCTTCTTTCTCGCACAAGTGGGCTTTTTGGGCTTTCGAAAAAACAATTGCTCCCTTTTCTAACCTGTGGCAAAATGTTCTATAACGAACAATAACTACGATTTTTTATATAGCAATTAGTATGGAGCTATTAAGCCGGGTTTTTGGTCTGAAGTTAGAGGCGCTTAGGCGATACGTTTGCAGATTCACTTTACATTTTAATGTTTACTTTGTGTGTTTACTTGAGCGAACGAATATTGCTGAAAATTTAAATTTTTTTTTAAAGATTTTTAGTAAAAATGGATGATAATAGTGTTTCTTGTGATGAATTGAAGTGTGTTGCTACTAATCGGCGAGGAAAAGGTAAAATCTTTAAACTTAAGAAATTATGCATAATATGTTTTCACCAACGACGTAATCAAATCTTTCCTTAAGAAAGAGAGACGATTCGATTTAGAATATAAATATATTTTTTTTAATTTTGTATATAGTTTGTTTGTACTTTGTTCTAAAAATGTGAACACAAGAAGTGTGCTCTACACTACTATCGAAGTTGGGCGAGGAGAATAATGTAAAGACGTACTTCGATTCGCTTCGTGCAACCTCGCTTCGATGTTCCGAAGTTACACAAAGCATCTCACCTACACTACTCGGAGTACGCCAGTTAGCGTATTGACGTCACACGTCACACGGGTGCGCACACAATCAACTACAGCAACTGCCTCTTGAACGTTATTCATGTTATAAGGCTACGGGCGACTCACTTACGACTTCATCGCGAAGTTGCACGAGTGTGTGGTCAGTTACGTTCTTCAAACTGTGATCGACTTTGACGAGCACTTCGTCGAGGTAACTTCGCTAATAGTGTAGAGGGGCTTAGCATTGTAGCAATGTTTCGCGTACTTGGAACAGCGCGCATGCCTCGCCCGCAGCTGCAGCTGCACCACATCACACACACTCACACACACCCACACACACACATACTCACACGCGTACCTGGAAAAGCGCGTGCAGTTCCGCGAAGGCGGCGAGCTCGCGCGCACGCCGCGCCCGCAGGCGCAGCTGCGCGCGCGCGCACACAACGCACTCATGCGCGTGCGACACGGCCGGCCCGCCGCCGAACCTGCACCACACCAACACTCTCACGGTTAAACATTTTATTTTTATTAAGTTTTTTTGGCATGGATGCTTGTCCTTTAATCCATGTCTTCATTTATCTCAATATCAAGTGATAATAATCTAAGTGAATAAGTACACTGCTTCACAATATGTTGATGCGTCACATTGCGTAGTTTTTGGGAGACTTTGTCGGCAACTTGATTCAGCAGACAGTTGTGTAGTGTAGGTACTATGACGAAGTAATGTAACTGGAATATTAAATGATATCCTCCATATATGGATTCAACGTGTCTTCCTGGTACAGTTGGCGATAGTATCTCAAGACACCTAAGCAGACAAACACCTTATCTTGAGATTCACATCACCATTGGAGCACTTGTACCACCGTTTCCACTAATAGTTCACATGCGCAGACATTTAATACAAAAAATCGCACCACTTTTACATAGTAAAATCCATTTCAAACCATTATTTAAACAAGTCCCCGCCAAACGGTCTAGTTCCCGCCACAACTTCCTCAAAAGATTACAAATGATCACTTACAGAGAAAATACAACATTATTAAACAAATAACTAAACCAATTAGCGTAGTTGTATGTGATATACGAGTACTGAGGGTAGAAGTTTAAAATACACAAATAAAAATATAAATATAAATATTTTAAGATTTGGTAAATGGACAAAGTGCAAGCGAATAATACGTTAAATGTATATTAAGGCCATTTCAATTACCCCATTTTGATCTATTTATTTATTTATTTAGATACACAAAACAGAATAACATCAAAACATGAACATAATAATTGCAAAATTACGATCTGGATGATATTCCTAAATATATGCACACAACATGATATTAGGTAACAGTAACGAGTTTACAGCACAAATACTTATAACCTATAAATATATTTATAAAAAGAATGTACATTAAATTTTTAGCCCCTGAATTGTCGTTTTAGATTATTTTTTCAAATTGCTTATTTTGTTATTAATTATGTCGATATTTTTACTATTATTTAAAATATATTGTTAAGAGTGAGGCTAGATAACTGATAAGCATTAAAACTCTGCCACTCATTCAAGCAGTCTGAAGAATTGCGCAGACAATAAGCACAGATAAGTATAGATAATTCGAAAAAGCACAGACAAGCTTAGATTATTCAATGAGTCTTAGTCGTTGCCGTCATTAATGATGAGACAGATCCACGACTCTTTCTGTCACCAGGGCGGCGCCACTTTAGAATGAGTTGGAATATTTACAGACGTTACAGCAAGGAAGTCAATTTGTCAGGGTTAATGTTTCTTTTTGTAATATTAGTTATATTTTATATTAATTACGTTAAAAATATACGATACGATACAAGCTACGGGTATTCCTAAAAGTAGAAAAAATCTACGCGAGTCCATCTCAACTGCGACAAAGAGGAGAGGACACCCCTCCCGCCACAGTCCACCACTTGGAACGATCACCTTAGGCCAGCCAAGTGGGTCCCTCACAACAAGGCGTTCAGGGGCGTAAATACATGTTCCATATTATGCCTAAATAAATTATTCAAGGTAACTATTTTTCATATACAAAAATATTTGGCCCTCCCAACCCGAAAACTAGACCATGCTTTTTTGTATTTATATTCTTAGTATCCTTGTTATTTTAATGAGTGAAAGAGATTTTAAGCCTTAACTACATATCAAAATGGCAAATTTGCAAGTAAGCCTGTAAAAGAAATGAAAAGTGCTTTATACAATTTTGGTTAGAAGCTACATACTGGCGATGCAAGAACTGCCACAGCGGTTGAGGCAGTACAGCGGCCAGGGCGGACAGCTGCGAAGCTCTCTCGGGTCGGATGCCACCGTGTACACACACGAAGTCGCCATTATCGATTGGTCCAGGTTCCGCCCATGTATTGAATCTAGTTTGAATAATAAACAAACATATAGGCAAGCTGTGGTAGCTAAATGGTATTAGTATAGCACTCAAGCAATTCGCATTCGCTCTTCGCCGGCACCACTGAGAGCGCAATTTTAATGGTTTCTCACAAGTGCTCTACGGTGAAGGAAAACATCGCGAAGAATCCGCGGCATGTCTAAGAATAAAGTCGATAAGTGTAAATTTTTTGCCTAACAGATAAATATCACTGGTAAAATAACGCTTGGTTCTGTAAATAATAGACATTAATCGAAAGCGTAAAACACTAAATTTGGGCTCTTCGTCTTACTAAGGGTCCGTGTGAACTTATCATCAGGCGCATTGCTTCTAAGGGTTTCGGTTGATGATAACCGTTCAACATATTAGAATGGCATCGAAAGAATATGAATATGAATTAGTTGAGAATAATTGAATGTTGTTATTTTTTCATTACTAACATGATAAAAATAAATATATGTTTAAACTTACTTATTCAGCCACTGTTTGGAGATATAAAATTTGATGTCGTTAGGCTCCACATTCGTCGATTCCAATATTTCTGCCGCCTTCTGTCTCAGCACCGTCATCTGGGGATTGACCTTTCTGTAAGTCAAATAAGCTAAGTTAATGCAATATTACTTTTGAAAGCTCTCCATAAGAGCAAATAAGTTTTAAAATTCGCGGACTAAAAAATGTGTACTAAAACATATCTTTTATACGAGGGGCACACTGAAATGATCGGGAATAGAATATTTCGGATTGAGTTACAATAAAATCTTTTTTAGAATTTGAATACTGGCTTCTTAGAATCAAACAAAAACTATGTTGGTTTAAAGATAACACGTCGTTAACAGAAATGGAGCTCACGCGTGAACATTTCCGTGCCATAATTGATCACAATTTTCGTCGCGGCTTATTTCAAAATAAATGTCTCAGCGAACTTGTTTCCATTTATGATGTTGAAGCACCGAGTCAAACGACAATATACCGCTGGTATGCCGAGTTCCGACGCGGTCGTGTGTCGCTCAGCACTGTTTCTTCTGCAGGTCGAAGAAGAACAGCGGTCACACCTGAAAACATCGCAGCTGTGCGAACTTTTATATTAGATGACCGTCATGTGACATACGAGCAGATTCGAACTGTTATCAGTATCGGAATGACTGCAATTCAGTTGATATTACATAATGACCTGTGTGTAAGAAATCTAGTTTCCCGCTGTGTTCCCCACAATTTGTCCGAAGAGCAAAAGGCGGCTCGTGTAGATTGGTGCCGGAATACTCTGCAACGCTTCAACGGAGGGAAGTCAAATGCCGTCTATAATATTGTCTCAGGTGACAAATCATGGATTTATTCATACGAACCTGAAAGAAAACATCAGTCAGCAGTTTAGGTCTTCGAAGACGAGGTCAAACCAACGAAAGTGGTTTGCTCCCGCAACGTGTCACAGAAAATGGTCGCTACGTTTGTCTCGAACAAGGGGCATGTTGTTACAATTCCTTTACAGAAACGCAGAACGGTTACCGCTGAGTGGTATATCACGGTTTGTTTGCCAGAAATGATAGCCGAACTCCGAAAAAAAAACCCGACGTTTCGGGTTTTTTTTTTCGCATCTTCTTACATCACGATAATGCGAGCTCGCATACGGCTCGGAAGACAAATGATTTTGATTTTTTGAAGCAGGAAAACGTTGAGCTGATGAGCCATCCTCCGTACAGTCCTGACCTGAGTCCAAACGATTTCTTTACATTCCCTAGAATGAAAGATTTATTACGCGGTCAACGGTTTGAAGACCCCGAAGCAGCTGTGGAAGCGTACAAATCAGCCATTTTGTCAACATCAACTTCAAACTGGAATTACTGTTTTAATGATTGGTTTTCACGAATGGAAAAGTGCATTAAGTTGAACGGAGAATACATCGAAAAACAATAAAATACAATTTAGCTATACCGTGCATGTGGTTTTTCTTATTCCCGATCATTTCAGTGTGCCCCTATGATATTAAACATAAAATATTCAAATTCAATAATAAAAATTTTACGTGGTAGAGCTACGCTGTAATCATATTATGATTGTAGCACCAATGGGTCGGCTCAACCGTGGCAGGACCACGCTCTCACAGAATACCAGCGTAAAATAGCAGCTTATGTCTGCTGTGTTTTGTATGGTGAGTGTAGAGAACCGCAGATCCTTTTTACTGGAATCGAGGCGTTCCATCTCAGTCCTCAGGGGTGACAACGCATCTGCATTTTTATTCTTAATTGAGGATAAATGTAGATGTTTATGGGCTACAGCATACACTTACCATCAGGAGGACTGTGTGCTTGTTTGTCACCCTTATTCTTAAAAAAAATTATATTCTGTAATCAACGAGGAAGATTTTCATGTTTCACAAATATTAATTTAATGACCCTCTAACCTACGACTGCTTATCTATACAGTATCTTCTAAATAGGGTAATCCACAATAAATAATATAGTTAACATTATTTTGACCAACTCCGACTACGGCGATTACACCACACGCAAATTAATGGATGCGACTAGATTACAAAGTGGAACGTGTATCGATAATGTCATTCATAACTGCCGTGGGTGTAAAAGCAAAATTTTATATTTAGGATTCTCAAGTGTTGCAATATCTAATCACAATAAAATATTCCTGTTTGCGATACTGGTTTATCAAAAGACGTGACTATATGTAGTACTAGTAATTGGACATAGCGAAGGCCTTCGATCGGGTTTGGTAAAAAGCGCTTCTTACGAAGCTTCCTTCCTATGGGCTTCCCGAGAAATTGTGCAATTGGATCATCAGTTTTCTCGCAGATCGGAGCATCAAGGTCGTAGTAGACAGTGCATGCTCCGATTACAAGCCCATTAACGCTGGTGTTTCACAAGGCTGCTTCTTCTGCATATCAATGACATGTTGCAAACCGGTAACATTCATTGCTATGCGGATGACAGCACTGGTGATGCTCTATACACCGGCCGTGCCAATATTTCTCGGAAAAATATCGCTGAGTAACGGGACAAACTTGTGTCTGAAGTCGAGACTTTGTTGAACAAAGTCTCGGACTGGAGACGACTAAATCTAGTTCCAGTTCAATCCTCAGAAGACACAAGCTTGCGCGTTTACCGCTAAAAAGAACCCCTTCGTCGTATCTCCTCATTTTCAAGGCACTCCTCTTGTTGCCTCAGCCAGTATCGGAATCCTCAGCGTCGACATATCAAGTGACGTGTAGTTTCGTGGTCACTTGGAAGAGAAGGCCAAATTGGCCTCTAAAAAACTTGGCTTGCTCAGCAGAGCGGGACAGTATTTCATGCCGGCAAAACGCCTGCAACTTTACAAGTCGCAGGTTCGGCCTCATATGGAATACTGATCCCATCTCTGGGCTGGGCCTCCCCAGTGCCAGCTCCTTCCATTTGATCGCATCCAGCGCAAAGCTGTTCGAATCGTCGACGACCGAACTCTTTCCAATCGGCTTAACTCCCTGGCACTGCGAAGAGATGTTGTATCTCTGCGTATTTTATCGCATTTACCACGAGGAGTGCTCTGAGTAATTATTCGGACTAATTCCAGCCACACAATTTCACCATCGCACATCGCGACAAAACTCGCGATACCATCTGAATGACTGGCGGTCCACCACTGTGCGATTTAAAAGAAGTTTTCTTCCCCGCACAACTTCCTTGTCGAATCAACTGCCACCAGATATATTTCCGGACCGATACGACTTAGGAACCTTCAAGAAAAGAGCGTACTCCTTTTTAAAAGACCGGCAACGCATTTGCAATTCCTCTGGTGTTGCAGTTGTTCATAGGCGGCGGGAATCATTTACCATTTTATACGTGGTAGAGCCAGCAGCTATATTATGGTTGTAGCACGAATGGGTCGGCTCGACCGGGAAAGGACCACGCTCTCACAGAATACCCGCGTAAAATAGCACCTTAACGCTGGCTGTGTTTCGTATGGTGAGTGTAGAGAACCGGAGACCCTTTTTACTGGAAACGAGGCATTCCATCTTAGTCCTCACGGGTGACAACGCATCTGCATTTTGATTCTTAATCAAAGACAGATGTAGATGTCTATGGGCCACAGCAACCACTTACCATCAGGTGGACTGTGTTCTCGTTTGACGCCCTTATCCTATAAAAAAACCATCATGTGAGCCGTATGCTCGTTTGCTTCTATAAAAAAAGGGTATAAAAATTTTGTAATTTTCAATTTGCTCGGCCGGTTACTCACATTATCAACTTAACTATAAATAATGGGATTTACCCTGATAAGCTAAAAATAACAGTAACTAAACCGATTTTCAAGAAAGGTCATAAAGAGGATTGTAGAAATTATCGCCCAATTGCTCTGAAAGTCATGTATACAAGCATATATAAATATTGTGAACGATTCAATTTACTATTAGACGAGCAATACGGATTTAGAAAGGATAGATCTTGTAGTGTATGTGCCTCCACCCTACTAGTAGTATAAGAAATACATGTACTTTTAAGTTTATTAATCAGTATAATTATAGTCTTCAACTGGGAACCACGTCTTCTGTTTATTCAACACCTTTCCGACATTTCAATCTAAGAATCTAACCATATATCATATGATAAAAATTGTATCGGAATGCCTCTGTGATCGCATTCCCATAACTGCTATTTTTATGGATATGTCGAAAGCTTATGATTACGAAAATCATGACAAACATCTGCAAAAATTACATATGTATGGAGTTAGAGGACCTATATCTCGTCTTGAGGTCTTGTATCGTTATATTTAAATAACCGATTTCAATAGACACAAATTTCTTATGTTAATGAGGAAAATCAATCTGAAGTGCAGGTATGATCTTAGTCACAGCTTGTAAAGTGTAGTGGTACCCCAAGGAAGTATACTTGAGCCGCTTCTTTTCCTATTGTACATCAATGACCTACCTAGACATGAGCAGCATGAAATGATTCTTTGTGAGATGATTATACTGTAGTGATAAAAAATAACAACAATAAACCATACGAATGTGTTATTACTGAAGCTTTGTCTGATATTATCAGTTGGATGAAATCTAATGATCTCGTCATAAACCTAGATAAGACAAAATATATGCAGTTTTATCTTCCCCAAAACTGGAAACAAGAGACTGTTGATGTTAAGTATGAGGGGCACTTCAATGAGAGAGTAAAACAGATATGTTTCCTTGGTGTGTTGGTTGATGAATGTGTAAACTGGTAACCGCATACCGAATATCTTACAAGAAAAATTAGTAAATTTGTTTATCCTCCAAGAAAATTAACACAAACTGTTTCACAAAAAGCTGCACTTACTGCTTATCATGGATACGTTACCAGCAACTTAGATATGGTATAATACATTGGGGAGGCGCCGCTGATGTTCACTTGTTGCCATTATTTCGTATGCAAAAAAAGTGTCTCTGGGCAATCTTTGGTGTCAAACAAACACAGTTGCAGACCTCTGTTTGTAAAATAAAGAATCCTAACTTTACCCTCATTGTACACATACCAAGCCTGCTTATTTGTCAAAAGTAATTTACATTATTTTAACTCGCACATTGCTAGTTAAAATAAATAAAAAACCGGCCAAGTGCGAGTCGGACTCGCGCACCAAGGGTTCCGAACAAATCCGTAGGTGTATAAGTTAAAAATTATTAAAAATATTTTTATTAAAAGATGTAATTCAAAATGTATGCTTTTCGCAATTTTTCCTTTATCTGTGCTATAATACGTTGCTTCGTACCAAATTTAAAGATTCTGAGTTCACGGGAAATACCCTGGAGGTTTTGATTCCCTTGTGAATGTTGAAAATTTGTGGCATACAAAACGGCTGTATCTTTTGATTGCGTTGGCTTAGAAGTTTGATTTTTTTCACAGCTCCAAGGGACTGTAGACTTGAGTATTTGATATGAATTTCAGCTTGATACCTCCACGCGTTCCTGAGAAAAAGGGTCTTGACAGACAGACGGACAACAAAGTGATCCTATAAGGGTTCCTTTTGAGGTACGGAACCCTAAAAAGGGAATTTGGTTGGTATGTGCATGGTTTGTAAGTTGAGCTCGAACCATATATGGCATGAGTACTACAATATGCAATATGCATTTTTTATTTATTAATCAAGTGTTCATACATATTTTCCTTGACTTGTACCATTAAACCGAAATGGTTCGTATTGGATACTCACATTCGCAACTAACGCACTGATTTACATTAAATAATTTGTTAATAAACTAATCAAAAATATACATTTAAATATACCTCCTTTATTGTGTAAGCGGTAAGCACCCATTTGCAATTATCACATGGGACGTTCTGGAATTGAGCGCCACCGAAGTGAGCGCTCATTACACGGACGTAACAGATCGCATGTCTTACACTTCTTTCTATCTCTTTAACACACACGTACGCACACAGAGACGCACCTGTAGAAGAGCACGTAGGCCTCACAGGAGGCGAGGTGGTGCGGCGGCACGGGCGTGACGGCCGCGTCGTCGAAGCAGTGCCAGGCGCCGGCGCCCGCGCTGCCAGCGCTGCCACCGCTGCCAGCGCGCGCCACGCACGTGTAGTGGCCGCCGCCCGCCGTGCCCGCGTGGCAGATCACGGCGCACAGCGCGTACCGCGTCACCCGCGACGTGCACTCTGTCCATTTACATTTTTTTAAATCAAATGGCTGAGTTATTTGATACTAAATATGCTGTCAATGTTACTAATAGTCCGGTTAACTACTCCAAATAAGCTTAATGTGAAAATTATTTTTTACTTTTTAGTTATATATATAGGCCAAATTAAGAGTACCCTTAACCGAAGAGCATGTATGCGTAGGTATCTGGATGTGGAGAAGGCGAGCGAGGTGTGTCAGGATCGTGCCAAATGGAACTCTGTAATCTCTGCCTAGCCCTCTGTGTGACAGGCATGTGTTTATGTTTACGTACGTACTTTTTAGTTCAGTAAAATCGGCAGGGGAGAAAAAATGTTACTATTAAGATGACATTCAATAATATTTATTAATATTTCTAAGTTCTAAAGCCTCTTAAGCCTTCAGCCTTCGCCTTTAAAGATCTAAAAAGAATAAAACCATTTCACATTCTTTTGACGACTTTAATTATTCTATAGACAATGTCTTAGCACTGACTTTAGAATGTGAAATTATTATATTCTTTTTAGTTCTTTGTTATCGACTTCTTTTTTCTCTGCGACATATGTTTTGAGTCACAGGCGCTCACAATTCCCTTAAGTAAAATCGAGATGCACCCGTCCTTATTCGTATACCTTTAGTACACACGTTTGATAGTCATAGTCATTTATTCATAGTCATAGTAATTTATTCCATAGAACATTATTACATTGTATTGGAAATTTATTACACGGATAAAGACCAACATTTACATGCAATTATTTGAAATAAAATTAGATTCGATAAAATTTAAACACCATTTAACAAATTAAATAAAAACTTTTCATGTCATAATATATTATAAATTATATAGTACATCCATACAAATAAATAAAACTGAAGTGTCTGTTTGTAATGTCAAAATTACAACATTTTACTAAACGCATATAAATTATATATGATACTAATAACAAAAATACTATTTTTAAAGTTTTTGTCTATCTGTCTGTTTGTTCCGGCTAATCTCCGAAACAGCTGGAACGATTTTGACGGTGATTTTAGAAAAATAATTAGGGTTCCGCGCAAAAAAATTAAAACCCCAAATAAAACGCGGGCGAAGTTGCGAGGAACAACTAGTAAACAATAAAAATTAACATTCATTAACTTTATTTTTATCATTTAGGTAATCGTCAACTGAGTAGTAGCTTTTTTTCATTAATAATGATTTTAATTTATTTTGAAATTTGTGGTGGCAATAAATAGTTTTAAATGTGGTAGGCAAAGAATTAAATAGTCCAATGGCTTGATATCTTGTGCTGTGGCGTAGAACATTCAATGTTGGTGTGATAGAATTTTTAAATTTTTTGGACGGGTCATTTCTCTCTTCTTCCTTTCTTCGTATGTTTCATATTTGTGTAAGTTCTTTATTAAATAAGTAAGTTAAACTAAGATATACAGAAAGAGGATCAAGATTTCGGAAATGTTCCTTAAACGACTCAATTTATGGATTACGTAACATGGTACGGATCGCCCTTTTTTGTAGTACAAACGCTGCCTTAATATTATACTTGTAACTATTACCCCAGAATATTATGCTATGACGTAGTTTAGATTCTACTAGAGCAAAATAAACCATTTTTAGCTGTTCTAACGTAACTTCTTCTCGTAAACTTGTTAAGGCATAGCATGCTGATCTGATAGTGGATTCTAGTGCTTTAATTTCCTTTTTCCAATTCAAATACATGTCAATGTGGATTTCTAGAAATTTAACTGATTCAACAGAGTCAATGTTAACGTTTATTGATTCTTTTAGTCTTGCTGTAGATTTAAAAAGCATTGCGTATGTTTTATTTGTATTTAATAAAAGATCGTTTGTAGCAAACTAACTTTTAAAGTCGTACAGTGTGTTTGTCATTTTAGTGTATAATTCGTCCACCGAGATAACAGATACAATCGCGTTGGTATCATCCACATAAATAGTTAGTTTTACAGTATACTATTTCGTATGTGTATAAGCAGCTAAATCATTAATGAATATTATAAATAATATGGGTCCAAAAATGAATCCATGTGGAACGCCCTTCTTTATGGTTGTCAATTTAGATTTGTATACCGTTTCTTCACCGTCTATTATTGTTTTAATCTCAATAAATTGTTTCCTATTTGATAATTAGGATTCCAATAACTTTAAAATTGAGCCTCTAATTCCGTAATGTTCCAATTTCAGTAGCAGTATATCATGATTAATCGTGTCAAATGCAGAACTTAAGTCTAAAAATAAACCTCCTACCTTATATTTATCATTGAGCCTACATACTACATCATCGACTAGCGTATTTATAGCATCTATAGTACCCACATATGGTTGATACACAAATTGCCTCTCATTTAATATGGAGTTTTGTCGTAAATGTGCTACTAATCTTACCTTTATCAGCTTTTCATAAATTTTTGATAACATAGGTAGCAAGGAAACCGGTCTATATTTTTGGTTTCCATTTTACTTCCCTTTTAATGTACCGGAAGTACTCGCGCAATTATAAGCTGATAAGGAAACAAAGTTTGTTCCACACATTTATTGAAAATATAAGTTAAAGGTTCAGCCAATATTTCAATATTACCCTTAATAATCATGGTGGGTATTTCATCATAACCATGTGATCTTTTATTTTCCATTTGCTTAACCAAATTTAAAATTTCATGACTAATAACAATGTTAAAACGCATATCTGTCACAACTATCTTCACACTTCGTTACAGAATTACATTTGAATAACATACATACATAGCGTCATGCGAGGAAGTAGACAGAGACTTGTAAAAGAAGTAATGGATGGCGACTAACTCATCGCTTACATAATCACAAACCCAATTTCCCATTAGTCGCCCTTTACACCATACTACACATTTGACATATTCTTCTTGTTTTAAATGACATTCCACATAAACACGGGACCTACAAGTCCCAAAACAATCCAACATTTGAATAACTTTCGTTAACTTACCTTTGTGGGTGTATGGCGCCATATTCAAGTCTTGAATAGGGAAGGAGACCCTAGCCCCCACTTTAGCACTAAACATCAATTCGTGACGAAACCGTTTTAAATGTACGCATAACACTTCGGGCAGCCGAACAACGCCAGACATCTTGACGCCGTTGCGTAATTTGTTGCACCGGGAACAGCTAGAGAGAAAGAAAAAAAACACTTAAAAGAATATTTTTTACTATTTGGTTAGTTTATGACACTAAAATGCTCTAAAAATCTCAAGGTATATTTTTTCAAAGCAAAAGAAAGATAAGCAGTGGAACAACACAAAAATTATTCTTCTTTTCTAATCTGATGATCGAATAGTACGGTTCTCATAATTAAGTTTTCATGTGGGTAGAGCCATGTTGCAGCTATATTATGGTTGTAGTACGAATGGGTCGGTTCTATCGGTGAAGTACCATTCTCACAGAATACCAACATAAAATATCAGCGAAATGCTGCTTGTGTTTCGTATTTAAAGTGTAGAGACCGGAGACCTGTTTTATTGGAAACAAATCATTACAGTGTCCTCAGAGGTGACAACGCGTTTGCATTTTGATTCTTAAGCGAGCATATACGTAGATGTTTATAGGCTACAGCATCCATTTACCATCTGATGGTCTGTGCGGTCGTATGTCACCCTCATTCTATAAATAATTATAACGTATAACAAAAAGTAAAAACCGACTTCAAATTGCTCTCCTCCTTTTTGAAGTCAGTTAAAAATATGTACAATACATAGGTAGGATTTTTATAAGGCACATCTAAATAATTTAAAATTAGCTCAGCATTATGTAGTACCTGTACATATTATCGCCTTTCAGTTCATCAGCGCTAAAGAAAGCGGCGAGACAGTCTTGTAACGATACCACCGGACCGTAGAACCACGATCTCAGCCAGCTCAGTAACCACCACACCTGTATACATTGAACATTCTCATCATGTCATAATTTCTCTAATATAAAATGATGCTTGTGATATATATAAAAAAAATTACCCATGACTCTTGTGATCCATTTGGAGTGTAATGGTTCAATATAGGTTGCTGACATCGTAGCACTGCCAGGTGTTCCCGCGAAGGGATAGGAAGCGAGAGGTCTTGGAAAGTTTCGACACGCGTTGACACCTGCAAACGGGACAGAAAAAATATTTTTTAAATTGAAGCATTCTAAGTCAGTCAGTTATCCCGTGGATGTCGATGTCGTAGAATATTTATTCAATATTGATTATTACATAATACTCATTGAAAGTAATTTTTTATTTACCACTGGTTAGGAAAACACCCTAGTCCTGGGAAGAACCAGCAAGAAACCCAGCGGGACTTTTTTTTCCAAACATATTTCACTTAACAATAACTTCGTTTATACAATTTTTAAACGATTTTTCATAGAACCAGCATAGTGGCGATCACCTTATTCCCAGGGGTTACTTTCATTTATGTATTCCTTGATATTATAATAACCCTTTTTGTACAGTTTTTCTTTAATAAATTATTGACAAACTTTGAATATGTTCTGGGATTTTGTTGTAAAAGCGTATATATTGCCCCCTAAAATGAATTACTGATTCTGTGGAGTCTAGTAACTGGCATTACAAGCTTATGTTTGTTCCTAGTGTTAAAAGTATGCACATCCTTATTCTTATTAAAGCTATTTATATTTTTATGCACATACATTACATTCTCATAAATATATTGCAATGCCAAAGTTGATATGTTTATTTCTTTAAATTTTTCTCTGAGCGACTCTTTACAATTTAGGTTATAAATCGCCCGTACGGCTCTCTTTTGCAAAACAAATATAGCTTCAATATCAGTTGCATTACCCCATAGCAAAATTCCATAAGACATTACGCTATGAAAGTAAATAAAATACACTAATTTAACTGTCTCAACATCTGTGAGACTTCTAATCTTTTTTACAGCATATGATGCAGAACTAAGTTTGCTTGCTAATTTAGATATATGGGGGCCCCATTGAAGTTTCGCGTCAATAGTAATACCGAGAAAAACAGTGGTATCCACAAGACTCAACTCCTCCTCATTTAACAGCACATTGGTATTCGAATGTTTTACATTAGGTATAGTAAATTTACTACACTTTTTTACTTTTCAAATTTATTACACTTTTAAGGTAAAGTGAAACAAGAGATGGGCAGCAAAATCTTCCCTATAACAACTCAAAAGGTCAAGACAATGTCAAACTGTGCTTGCTAGCTGGCCTGCCAAACGTGGTAATATGAATCTATGGAGAAAGCCTATTTAGACTATCGATAAGCTGTAATGAATAATTTAATAAGAGGGGCCGTGTTTAGAATTCATTACCCCATTTTAGTTCTGTGGGTATCGTAAGAGGCGATTAGGCAAAATGTCAGAAAAATCTTTGGAATGGCGGTATGAATTTAGATAACGCAAGACGGCAAAATTATTAAAATACAAATAAGGACAATCCTCTTTACAATTTCAGAGGGCTATGTCTAGCAGTGTACTTTCACAGGCTTTTTTTAAAGGAGAGGGAGCAAACGAGCATACGGCTCACCTGATGGTAAGTGACTACCGCCGCCCATGAACAACTTCAACACCAGGGGAATCGCAGATGCGTTGCCGGCCTTTTAAAAAGGAGTAGGCTCTTTTCTTGAAGGTCCCTAAGTCGTATTGGTCCGGAAAAATCGCTGGTGGTAATCGATTTCACAAGGAAGTTGTGCGAGGGAGAAAACCTCTTCTAAATCGCACAGTGGTGGACTGCCAATCATCCAGGTGATATGGATGGTATCGCGAGTTTTGTCGCGATGTGCGATGGTGAAATTGAGCTGCTGGAATTAGTCCGAACAATTCCTCAGAGCACTCCCCGTGGTAGATGCGATAAAACACGTAAAGAGATGCAACATCTCTACGCAGTGCCAGTGAGTCAAGCCGATCGGAAAGAACTCGGTCGTCGACGATTCGAACCGCTCTGCGCTGGATGCGGTCAAGTGGAAGGAGCTGGCACTGGGGAGACCCTGCCCAGAGATGGGAACAGTATTCCATGTAAGGCCGAACCTGCGCCTTGTAAAGTTGCAAGCGGTGTGCCGGCATGAAATACTGTCCCGCTCTGCTGAGTAAGCCAAGTTTTTTAAAGGCCAATTTGGCCTTCTCTTCCAAGTGGCCACGAAACTGCACGTCACTCAATATGTCGACACCGAAGAGGCTGAGGCAACAAGGGGAGTGCCTTGAAACTGAGGAGATATGACAAAGGGATTATTTTTAGCGGTAAACGCGCAAGCTTGTGTCTTCTGGGGATTGAACTGGACTAGATTTAGATGCCCCCAGTCTGAGACTTTGTTCAACAAAGTCTGGACTTCAGACACAAGTTTGTTCCGGTACTCGGCGACGTTTTCCCGAGAAATATTGGCGCGGCCTGTGTATAAAGCATCACCACACCTGTGCTGTCGTCTGCATAGCAATGTATGTTACTGGTTTGCAACATATCATCAATATGCAGAAGAAACAGCGTTGGTGGCCTTGTGGAACACCAGCGTTAATGGGCTTGTAATCGGAGCATGCACCGTCTACTACGACCTTGATGCTCCGATCTGCAAGAAAACTGGTGATCCAATTGCACAATTTCTCGGGAAACCCATAGGAAGGCAGCTTCGAAAGAAGCGCTTTGTGCCAAACCCGATCGAAAGCCTTCGCTATGTCCAAACTAACGGCCAACGCCTCCCCCTTGGACTTCACTGCCTCCGCCCATCTATGAGTTAGGTAACCTAGAAGATCACCAGCTGAGCGACCTCGACGGACACCGTACTGGCGGTCACTAATCAGCTGGTGATCCTCAAGGTACCGCATGAGCTGGCTGTTAATAATGGTTTCCATTACTTTGGAGAACAAGGAGGTGATAGCGATAGGCCTGTAGTTGGACGGATCTGAGCGGTCGCCTTTTTTAGGGATCGGGTGCACCAAAGCTGTCTTCCATGACTTCGGGACTACGCCTAGGGAGTAGGAGTACCGAAAAAGACGCGTTAAAACCGGTGCCAACTCCGGAGCACACGTCTTCAGTACAATATGCGGGACTCCATCAGGCCCACTCGACTTGTTGACGTCCAGTGAGAGGAGTGCTTTACGCACCGAGCGCTGTGTAAACAGCACTTCCCGCATGGAGCACTCACACCGTGATTGTCGGCGGTGTGTTCCCCCCGTCATCTAGAGTCGAGTTGGAAGCAAAAAGAGAGCCTAGCAGATCGGTTTTCCCCTTTGCGTCATGGGCCAGTGAGTCATCCACCCTGTGCAGATGGCTGACAGAAGTTCGCTTGGTCAGCCTTAACGAGAGACCAGAATGCACGTGTTCCTGAAGGGAAGCGAACTAGTTTCTCGCCAATTCTGCCGATGTGTTGTTGCCTTGGCAAAGACACTTTTGAAGGACCTGGAGGCGGAATTATACTTCTTTTTAAGAGCGCTGGTGTTTACATCCCGGGACGTTGATGCGTCAGCCCAAGCCCGGTAGCACTCCTGCTTATAGGGTGATGCTATTTTACAGGAGCGACCAAATCATGGCTAGGATCTGCCTCCGATGGGCACCACAGAGGACGGAATAAAAAGTTCCATACCCTGAAGTACCACATCAGCAACAGAATCGGCAACAACGCTGGGATCTTCCAGCGAGAAGCAAACCCGCCCCCAAGGGTAGGATGCAAAAAAAGACCGCATCCCGTCCCAATCGGCCGACCTATAGTGCCAAACACAGCGGCAAGCTGCAGATCGCAACTGTGATGGTAGCGTGAGTGGCACCGTATTCCGGTTCAGACAATGGTCCGAAGAGCATCGACGGAGACCTGATATCCACCCGGATGAGAGGTCAGCAGAAGGTCCAACAGGGAAGGTACATGATCCTCCACATCTGGGATCCGCGTAGGCGAAGTAACCAGTTGTGTTAGACCATATGCCAAGGCAAAGTCATACACAGGTTGGGACCTGTTGTAGCACGGAGTCTGCAGCCATTTGGACGTGGTCGATGAGTCGGTCTGTGCCGCCATTACCGCTATGGGACCTATAGAGGCACCCGTAGACGCGGGGATGATCGTCGCTGTCTACGCGCAGCCATAGGATGGACAGGTCCGTACCTTTTAGACTGTCGGGGCGTCGAAAACAGATGTCCTCTCTGAAGTATACGCAAACTATAGCCCGGGGCACAAAGGAGTGTTCAAATTTGTACCCCGGGTAGGAGAGATATGAAGTATCAGCCGGAAAGGACACCCGAGTCTCGGTTAAAAATAGCAAGGTTGGAATGAAGTCCCCTGATATTGCAAAAATTCACGGATAGCGTAAAAGGGGTCGCCTTGGTCTTATTGCTCTGCTTGCCCCGAGCAGTATTAGTCGCGAGGGGAATTTTGCCCCCCCCCCCCCCCAGAATACGCGGGGCAGCCTGAGCACCCACGCCCAGGAGTGGAGTAGTTTGGTCGTGCATGCTCAGCGACGGATTCTCCAGGGGTGCTGGTACCCTCCTGGGGTAGTCTTCTGTTCAGGCTAAAAATAAGAGAAGAACATGTGATAAATACTGCTATGTTTTTATTAGCTAGTAGGTTGCTCTTCTAGTTGCATTATATAAATCACTCACCCTATCACAAATGAGGCACTGCACCGAGGACAATAGTTTTCCATCAAAGACGTCCGACACTATGCTGCGGTAACGAATGCCACCACAACCTCCGTCTCCACTGCCACATACTGGCTTGCTTCTGGAAATTTAAGCGTAGTTTTGAAGTAACATTTTAATTTTTTTTAAATAATAATAATAATAGTTGCAAAAGTTTGGGATTTCCTTCTGTATAGTGGAGCTGTTTTATATATATAAATTGAACATGAACAAACAGAACTGTAAGAAGTATTAGTGGGTCATATCATAAACACATATTTCGACTGGGAAAAGTTATATGTAGTTTAAAGAAACACTTGTTTTCTGCACGATTCAAACCCAAGGTTTCGCATAATCGTAGCCAAACGCTTGGCCACTACGCTACAGAGTCGTATTGGCTTGACCGACAGCGGTAGACGTCTTCACTAAATGCAGTCCACAGCGTGACACGAATCTATTCCTTGTTGGGAGACACTTGTCAATTGCAACACTTGACAAGAAAATTGGCTAGTATCAGATGTCTCGCTTTTCACACACTTACTCTATCACCGGTCTGGGATACGAAAACCAATTTTAAGTGTTATAAACACGGATACCTAGACGTGCATGCATGAAGAAGATAATGAATCTGAAAGAAGCGAAAGAGGTTTGTAAGGATCGTGACACTTGGCGATCTGTTCTCTCTGGCTACCCCGTCAGGGATTGTGCGTGAAGATAAGTAAGTAAGTAAGTAAATAAACACATTTGAGAATCAATTCAAAAACAGACTATGTATTTAGCTACCTCAAATTGGCACTGGACCGAAAGGTAACCTTCGAAGGCACATCGAAGCCAGTTTTTTTTTTAAATAGAATATGGGTGACAAACGAGCACAGGTACCACCTGATGGTAAATGAAATGATGATAAACCACTATACGAAACACAACAGTATTAAGCTGGTATTAGAGCGTGGTCCTTCCCCGCTCCAGCCGACCCATTCGTGCTACAACCATAATATAGCTGCAGCGTGATTCTACCACGTTAAAACACAGTTGCAAAATAATTTAAAAATAGCTATGAATAGTGTAGACTGTAAGATGATATTATTAAGAACAGGTTGAAGGAGAATCTTCCGCGAATAATATGAAAGAGAGAAGAGTATATCCTCGCACAGGTAATTCAGTTTGCCATCGCCAGTCTGTGGCATTAGGTTTTAGCATAATCACGAAAGCTTCGTTTGGATGTGTATTGACTGTAAGAGGAAAGCGAATCCCGTGAGGTGTTGCTAGTTCTCGCGTCGGGCGCGTCCCCGGGTGGCGGATAGGGGAATTCCACTCAGATATGAGTGGCAGCGGGAAACCGTCGCGGACCAAAACTGGCTGGGTTTTGGGCGTACCCTCAGTTCTTAGTTGAACTGAGAAACGGTCACGAGCATATAGCTCCGAGAAGTGGGCTTTGAGCCTTGATGTTGCTCGTTCTTATATTCTCAATTGATAAGAACATTAGACGTGACACATACGGTGAAGTGCCAAGTGCACGCGGCTTTTGCCGGCGCCGGACAAACCCGTAATCCCAGTTAGGACCTGAGGCTCTATTGGGCCACGAGGAAGAAAACCTCTGTAAAAAATCACCCCAAACCAAAGGTCTTGCGTGCTAATGGGTGAATGGCTGGGGGGTATTCAGTCGTTAGCACTTGGGGGAGGGGAAGGTTTAGGATTCATAACCTATTTAAAAAAAAGGAAAACGAGCGGGCTCAGTGTTGCCTCACCCGGTCGCTGGGCAGGTATGGGAAAAACCTGTATCAACTCTGCCACCGTTCGAAAGGAAAGTACATAATCAATGATTAAGATAAAATAATAATTCTCACTCGGTGGGTTCTAAGCGTGGTTCCGGTGCGTCGCTGGCGCCACTCGAACAAGTTTCATATTTCTCCTCGGCCTCGCTCGAACACGACAGTTCCGACTCAGAGCCTATATCGCGCTGCCCTGGATCCATACCTGATGTGAAAAAGAGAAACTAATATTTTTTTTTAAATTTAACACCATAAAAAATATTGCAACGATATCCATAAATGCACTTCACGATGCTATATTTCTGAGCAGATATCAATTATTTTATCCGCCTCGAAGGATCAAAAATGTAAATTTTATTTTCAAAAGTAAAAGTTGTTTATATTATTCTCCGTAAGGTAATAATCACATACGTAAAACCACGTACCGTAAGGGTTTACGATAGGAAAATATTCGGAAGATCAAGTGACCTCCGATTAATAGGGTTATGGTCATCTTGAATATATATGTGAGATGCTATATTTCCAAACAAGCAGAAGTATCAAAGATAAGAGAAACTGGTCATGCGACCATCAATCTGTTTTTCAAGCGTATAGCGATTATAGTAGATTTCCCCTTTTACATGATAAGCCAACATCCGACAGTGGACTATTGAGCTGATTAATAAAAGATTAATATTGTATATTTACCATTCATTTGATGAGTTGGCACGTTATAGGTGAGATGGTGAGTGCCAGCGAAACTGGCAGACCGTTTATGTCTATGGCCCACTCCGCTCTCTGTGTTTGATTGCACCCTGTAAAATAATTATCTGTTTACGTCTTTATGCGGGAACCTAACATACGCTAGGCGGTTTTATATTGTGAAATTAATACAGATTTCTTATGTCGACAACGTGACAGTAAAAGTACTGACTATTACGAGTACGTCGCGAGTCATAAATTAGTAGTACAACCCAAGTCAAAATTTCTGCAAAAACAAATTGTTATATTCTTGTCTGGACGAGTTGAGATTTTCCTTGTCACAGGCTGAGCCTACCCCCCCCCCCATCTTTGCTCCATGCTAGCTACGTTCATGCTTAGAAATCAAATTCTGTTAGGTGTCATAACTATGTACTATGTACAAGGTCTAGAATATACATACCTAATGTCAACAATGCTCATTCTTAGCACGATTAAGAATATAAATGTAGTGATGAATTTGTTGGTATATTCTAACTTAATAATTGTTTGAACTCATTGAATAATTCTAAAATAAATTATTTTAACGAGATTAGTGTGAAGAAAATACATTTTTATCTTCCCGCTTTGAAAATTAATAATTATCAAAAGTAGGAAGTTATAGATTTCAGTCCGATTTTGAGAATGCGAGTTTTCATCAAATCTCCACGTTTTGAGGTCCTAGGAAGCCGTTCCGACTATCCCCGGCTGGCCGTCCGGCCGTGTGTGTGTGTGTGTGTGCGCGCGCGTGTGTGCGTATGTGTGTGTATGTGTATGTAAATAAAAATTTGTCGTACGATAGTGTTCATTGAAAATTCAAGCTGATTAGGTTTTCAAGTCAATCGGTCGAACGGTTTCAGATTTTCAGAAAATAAAAAACAAAAATTAAGCGGGATGGCTTGGTTCAACCGTTTTTCAGATTTTTTCCATTTCGATGTCGCTGTGTACTGATAACTCACCAAATTTTTAATGGCTTTTTTATAATTCTATAACAGTTATCATTGCAAATGCGTAATAAAAACCATTTACCGTGAATGATTTTACTTTGTTTGTCGTAAGTAGAAAATGTTCTAAATATCACAGTAGTTGACTAAGCGGCTATCACAGTACGCGAGCAATCAGGCTTCAAACTCTGTCGGCACCAATGATATCGTTAGTTACAATTTCAAGTGCTGATTTACCACAAGCTCGACAGTGATGGAGAACATTGAGAAATTTTCTGCATGTCTTGGGGGATAAAATATTTCAGCGATATGTGAAGTCCGCCAACACGCATTCGGGCAGCGCGGTGGTCTAATTGCTCCATACACTTCTCTCAGATATGAGAGGGAACCTGAGCCCAGAAGTGGGACGTTAATAGTTTTTGTAATATAAAAATGCCATAATTAATATTATATTATAACTAGCTGACCAGGCAGACGTTGTTCTGCCCTTTCCGGCGACCATTTGATTTCCTAAAAGACCCCTGAAAATAGCAATAAAAAAATGGAGGGTCACTTATCGGGATAAAAACTATCCTATCTCTCAAGTTGGTCCAAACTGCACACAGTGTGGAAAATTTCGTTGAAATCAGTTCAGTAGTTTAGGAGTTCATCGCGGACAATGTGACACGTAATTTTTATATATAAAGATAATGTAGACATATTGTTAACTGATATATATATATATATGGAAAATAAAGATTAAATAAATAAATAAATAAATAAAATGTCCCACTATTGCATTACTACAACCACTAGACTAACGAAGCAGTTAATATTTATAAGATAAATAATCATACATTAGTTACCTAAGATAGCCGTCGGCTCTTGCTTCGCTATAAGAGGAGGCGGCTGGCGACTTTCGCCTCATCCTCGCAAAATACGGCGCGTCACTAGCTGCGGACCAGTCTGCAATCAGCCTTGTATCATCGTTAAAAATGCACAACAAATATAAAATATCAATTGCAACTTAAGATTTAATGGTTTACATTTTTTACTGAAAGGAAAGATATGATGTAATAGGTGAACGAAGTAGAAGCCTATGGCATAGATATTTATCAAATTTACTATTTTTCATTAAATTTTAACAAATTGATCTATCAATTACTACTAGTTTGAAGTAAACTTTTTACCTAGCAGCCGCTTCAAGGCTGAGGCTGGCTTTTCACTATGTGATATAATATATATTATATCCCGAAATATAAATTATATCTCGCGATTGGCGTTCACACTGTGAGATATATCTTTTAACCAGTGTGCGTTCGTCATTGGTCATTGGATTACCCCCTTTACCCCGTACACCGTTCTGCGGGGGCGCGGAACAGCGTGCGGGGTACAGGGGGCAAAATATAATATGAAACTATCGCTCGGTCGATGGAAAAAATATTTATAGCTTAAGATGTAATATATATTATAGCTCAGTGTAAACGGTTCCATATGGAATGTATGGTGAGCGATATTAATTTATATCTCGAGATGTAATATATATTATATTATATCCCGTAGTGAAAAGCGGGCCTGAGATCTATAGACCGTACTTTGACTTTGCTCAGACTGCTTTCGAGCTAAGGCTGAGATCTATAGATCGTACTTGGACTTTGCTCAGACTTAGCTTACGAAAAACTTAGCTGAGTATATGCTGAGCATAATCTTTGATTCTGAATTTATAGTTGTATCGGGCTAAGATCAAGCTAAGCTTATGCTAAGGCTCAGACTGTCAAAAAATTAATGGATGATTTATTCCACGCATTATCTTATTGATTTTACTGAATAAAAAAATATATATATATTTAAAAATCGAAAATAGTCAAATTGTATTTCATAAATAATAACTTATTACATGAAGTAGAAAACAGGCGAATTTAAAGAGAGATAAAAGTACATTTAACTCAATATAGATAGAGTTCTATCTACTTTAGAAAATATAGATAGATTGGGAACTTCAGCAGATATAAGTTCTCTCTAAAGTAGCATCATTGCATTTGAGAAAATACGACAAAGTTAAAGAGTTTTCAGTTGCTCTGAGAGTGTAAAGTAATTTTGGACCATTACTTTTGTTAGGATAATATCTTGAGTTTTTCGTAAGTCGTCGATTTCGTTGACTTAGGCTTTGCTTAGCGCGCACTCAGCACTATTTCGAAGTTAGTTCTATAAATACCGACGTTGTCTTAGCTCGAAAGTAAAGTCTGAGCAAAGTCAGAGTACGGTCTATAGATCTTAGCATTAGACAATGTCGGTATTTATATAACTTCCAAATCGTGCTGAGTGCGCGCTTAGCAAAGCCCTAAGTCAACGAAATCGACGACTTAGGTAAAGCCCGAAATAGGCTTAGGGCTCACTGTAAACTGTGTACTCGAGCAACTCAGGTTCAATCCTTGCCGGTACCAATGTAGTTGTTAATTGCAATTTTAAGTATTTATTCTCCACGTCCTCGTCGGTGAAGGACAACATCGCATGTTTGAGAAATTATTAAAAAAATACATTTCGAAGACGTGAGGTTCAAAAACACCAACTTGGTATACAATGCATATCAGGTTAACTAGGTCATGCAACCGTCTATTTATGTATGTATAGCGACGTATGTTTCATAAAACTTGATAAAAAAAAATATATTTAAATGACTGTTCCACAGTGTTCATAATTTAAATACATTTTGACTACCAGTTTAAAATAGATGACATTGTTTTTAACCTAAATATTTCCAGGCGAAACCTTTTCATCCCTGTACTATTTTATTAAAACAATTAGTAGGTATTTCGGACATCATAAAAGAAAATGTATATCTTACCCCCAGATGAAACGGCCCTGCGTCTTATGTGAATGTTTCTGCTCTCCTGGTGATCTCCATCAGCTTCAGTACCGAGCTTGTCTTCTGATGTAGTGTCCCACACCTGGTTAGATCATAATCATTTATTGTATATTCATAAGAGCTTTATGTTTTCTAATTAAATAAATAAATAAATAATATGAAAAATCGCCACTTAGTACATAATAATTATATATTAACAAACTTTGAGGTTAGGTTAAGTTTGTAAAGGAACAACCAGTTAAGGTAACTTACATGGTTTGAAAGTGATTTTATATTGGTTTAAAATATTATACTCATAAAATGCGTTTTTTCACATAGAAATACGCGTTGATAAAAAAGAAAACACGAGCAATTACAAATTACGGTTGATGCATAAAGTGGTCCTTCGAGTCGGGAGAGATTCTGTTAAAATAATATTTATGAAAATAATTAAGAAAAACAATACATAAATTAAATATACCGGTTCTTTGAGCTCTTCATGCAGCTGATCCATAAAACACCTTAAGAACTCCTGCGTATCGTGCTGATGATACCCCCGAAACATTGGATATACCTGTAAAATGGATATATAATTAAGCTAGCAGTCAGGGACAGCTATGAAAAGTAAAGAGATATAATTTACTTACGTTTCGTATACCATATAATATACCACTAGGTACAAGATAGCCTCTAGTTTTCTTACTCCACATTTCTTTAATTAATTTTTGGTATGCTCTGAAATGCAAGAAGTGTCCAAAATGTTATACGACATAAACAAGACCTTTGTTTCTATTAAAATTAAATACATTATTGACTATAACTTGTAACATGCTAGCATTAAATTTATTTTCAGGTAAGACAAGTTGATGACAATAAAGCCATTTTGTACATAATTTTAAAGTTACGACATAAGTCCCACATCTGGGCACAGGCTTATTTCTATTTTATTTCTCTATGCATCTTATTAGTAATTAGTGCGCTCTGTCCTACTGTGTGATGGCGTACTTCATAATTATTTTATTTCTGGGCATGCAGGTTTTCTCACGCTGTTTTCTTTCACCGCCTAACTTGTGGTAAATCAGCACTTAAAATTGCAATTAAAAATTTCATTACTACTGACGGAGAACGAAGCTGGATTGCCCGCATACTGTGAAATTTATTGCGACCGCTTAGCCTCTGCAATACCACGTTATCTTCATCTTGTATATGATAAATTTAAAATAGCTCGACAAACAATGTGGAGATATTATGATCGCCAATTCGCCTACTAACCATGGCGATTACGGCGAATTTTTTTTTTCAATGGCAAAGCATTCATTGATTATGGCTCATGATTATGATATGAAATGGTGAATGCAGCGTTACTACACGGCAAGGCACAATGCTGAAAGTTTGTTTTGTCGAGACGTTGGTACGTGGCTAGCTCAGGACCTGATAGGTGGCGCTGTAATCGAGTTATTAAATTTTATGTTAACATATATCGGAAAGGGTAGAATATAGTATGGCGGATCATCATCAACATTATTATTACAGTTTATCAAAAGTCCACTGCTGAACATAGGCTTCTCCCATAGATTGCCTCCTAGAGGCGATATTTGACATAGTAGCCATGTTTGGCTGGCGGGTTGGTAATCGCAGTTTTTTATTATTTTGAATATTATCAAGGGAGATACTGAAGCCTATCTCCTGTTTAATTTCCCTCTGTTGCCTTTTACGACCTCCACGGGATGGTATGGGGTTGCTGATTTTCTTACGCCGCATTTACACTGCTGGACCAGCTAGTATAAAAATAAAATACATTAAATTACCTGCTTAGTCCTGGCTTCTTGTCGCCGGCGAGGACTGCGACGGCTGCGGCGCACTCCAAGAAGTACGACGTGAATGGCTGAGTGTTGCTCAACGCTTGGAGGGCCGCGTTCATGTAGCACGTGTTGCCCATATTTTGTAGACCCACTAAACCTGCTAATATGAACTAGGAATAAACGCAAAGGTTTCAAATTAACAGTGTCACGATTGGGACGTTTACTTTGAGAGACCATATTGAAACACCATATTTTTTTTTCTTTTGTAATGGGACTCGTACTGCTGTACCTTTGCCAATGTCAAATACTTATATTAAGAAATTAATAATAATCTGTTTAAAACTTTTTTACAATATGTTGATGCGTCACATTGAGAAGTTTATTAGAGTTTTTTTTATATGTAAGAGCCATGCTGCAGCTATATTACTGGTATAATTGTAGCACGAATGGGTCGGCTCGACCGGGGAAGGACCACGCTCTCACAGAATACCAGCGTAAAATAGCAGGTTAAACGCTACTGTGTTTCGTATGGTGAGTGTAGAGAACCGGACACCCTTTTTACTGGAAACAAGGCATTCCATCTTAGTCCTCACGGGTGACAGCGCATCTTGCATTTTGATTCGTAATCGAGGATAGATGTAGATGCCTATTAGCCATGGCAACTACTTACCATCAGGTGAACTGTGTGCTCGTTTGTCACCCTTATCCTATAAAAACAAGATGTTGACGGCAGCTTGAGCTTGAGCTTGCAGATAGTTGATGACGATAGTATCTCAGGCGCCTAACCAGACACATTATCTTGAGGTTCACATCACCATCGGAACACTGTTTTCTTCGGTTCCACTAATGGCTCACATGCGCAGGCATTTAAATACACAAAATCGCACCACTTTTCGTATTAAAATCTACTTCAAATCATTATTGAAACAATAATTATAACAAGATCCCGCCAAAACTCTTTGAAATGATAATTTATAAACACTGAAATTCGATTTTAAGTTCGATTTGATTAATCAGTGTCGTATGGTAGGTAGCTGCATAAAAAAATGCATTTTCTGACTATTAGAGATTCTACAAGATCTCATAGGTTATTATATGGCGGTATAAGGCGTTCTGTACATGGAGTCTGCAACGCGGCTGCAGTGCACTCAGCAACACTCAGAACCGACAGGAGACCTGTGTCCAGAAGTAATACGTATAGAGGTAATACCTTTACCTTTATTCATAATTAATAATTTAAAATTAACATTTTGTACAACCGACTTCAATATAAATTATTAAAAATATCTTAAAAACTACTGGTTAAGACCTTGTTCAAATTATATACGGCGGGGCACACTGAAATGATCGGGAATAGAATATTTCGGATTGAGTTCCAATAAAACCCTTTTTAGAATTTGAATACTGGCCTTTTAGAATCTTAATGACATTCAAACAATAAAAAAATGTTTAAAAACAAAAACTATGTTGGTTTAAAGTTGACACGTCGTTAACAGAAATGGAGCTCACGCGTGAACATTTCCGTGCCATAATTTATCACAATTTTCGTCGCGGCTTATCTCAAGATAAATGTCTCAGCGAACTTGTTTCGATTTATGATGTTGAAGCACCGAGTCAACCGATAATATACCGCTGCTATGCTGAGCTTCGACGCGGTTGTGTGTCGCTCAGCACTGTTTCTTCTACAGATCGACCAAGAAGAGCGGTCACGCCTGAAAACATCGCAGCTGTGCGAACTATTAACTAATTCCTTTCCAGGAACGCAGAACGGTTTCCGCTGAGTGGTATATCACGATTTGTTTGCCAGAAATGATAGCCGAACTCCGAAAAAATAACCCGAAACGTTGCATCATCTTACATCACGATAATGCGAGCTCCCATACGGCTCGGAAGACAAATGATTTTTTGAAGCAGGAAAACGTTGAGCTGATGAGCCATCCTCCGTACAGTCCTGACCTGAGCCCAAACGATTTCTTTACATTACCTAGAATGAAAGATTTATTACGCGATCAAAGTGAACAAGTTGAACGGAGAATACTTCGGGAAACAATAAAATACAATTTAGCTAGCATGTGGTTTTTCTTATTCCCGATCATTTCAGTATGCCCCACGTACTACTATACCACATGAGAAGCACCAGCTTTCAAATAAAAAAAGAATAATCGAAATCGGTTCACCCAGAAAAAAGTTATGAGGTAACACACATAAAAAAAATATTATGTGTGTTACCTCATAACTTTTCAAAACTTTTTATTTTTATCTCTGCATCACCTAAAGGTTGACTGGTAGAGAATGCCTCAGGCATTAAGTCCGCCTATACATCATGTTGTATGAAGTTTAAATAAATAAATAAAAAAGAAAAAAAACATACAGTCGAATTGAGTACCGTCTTCTTTTTGAAGTCGGTAGAAAACAAAATAACCCTGCTTGGTTTCTCGCTGGTTCTTCCCCGGAACGGGGGTATTTTCCGAACCAGTGGAAGATAAAAAAATACTTTTATTAAGTATGATGTAATAATCTATATTGAATAAAAATCATTCTATTATTCAATTCTTATAAGTAACGTAATTAGGAGTGATGTGATTAGGATGAAATATCATCCCAATACATGGTTGTGAAAATGATATGCGTTTATGTTAAAAAATTACATAAATGATAGTTGCAGGTGCATCAATAAAGGTAAATATAGAAAACTACCTCTATGGCGTGATTCGTCTTCATAATCCATATCATCAGGGTCCAGGTCGTCATCTGGCGTCACGTTTATGGCGAAACTGCCCAGCCTTCCATTTATTGACCCCTCCATCGACGTAGAGTCTGGACTCATCTGAGAACGAAAACGGAGGAAGATGATCATAAATATTATAAAATGACTTTTTGGCGTGGTCTGGTATACATTTTTAGCAGAGTATTTAATGCTGTGAACGCTAAGTTTAATACTAGAAAAACACATACTATCTTATTACAAAACGTGATTTATTGATAATCTTAGGTTTAATGATGTCTAATGTGTTTCGTGTTAGGATGAAAGAAGTCAAAGGATTCTTGGGTGCAGGTGACTCAGGAGCGCGCTTTGTGGGATTACTTGGCCTATGTTCAGCAGCGGACTTGTGAAAGGCTATAATGATGATGAAATTAAATATCTGTGTGCGCTTGTTATAGATTAAACTTAATAATATATTGTCTGTGGAATTACTTTGTGAATGTGCGACGGAAGGAATGCAATTTGCTTGCGGGTTAACTTATAACTCGGTCTTTAACGCGTTCGCAAGTAATAACAAAAAGAAGTTTATTTGGCACAACGTGGAGGACGCCGCGCTGAGTTGTCATGTTTTAACCACCAACTCGCATCGCTTCGCCAATTATTATTCTATATTGCATATCTTGTGATTATCGTATATCTACAGCATTATAAACTCGCCTTAGTGGAGTGCTACAAACATACAAGTTCCTCGTCTTTTCTAGTTCGTAAGTCATAAGATGTTCCACAAGCAATCCGCCTTTTATATTATTAAGGTCGTATTATAATCCCCGCACAAATCTTACTTACATACATACATATAATCACGCCTCTTTCCCGTAGGGGTAGGCGGAGACCAGTTCTTTCCACTTGCTACGATCCTTACATACTTGTTTTGCTTCGTCCACTTTCATTATTCCCTTCATACATACTCTACGGTTTAGGGTACTCTTGACCTGGCCTTTTTTCAAGACGTCCCTGATTTGGTCTAGAAATGTCCGCCTAGGTCTACCCCTTCCAACACTTTCATTCACACTCGCCTTATACACTTTTTTCGTCAATCGTTCTTCATTCATTCTCTCGACATGGCCAAACCGTCTCAGCATACCTTTCTCAATTTTTGTCACTACATCTTCTTTCAGACCACAACGTTTCCTTATCTCACTATTTCTTATCCTGTCACTCAGTTTAACTCCTATCATACTTCTTAATGCTCTCATCTCAACTGCATTTATTCTGCTTTCATGTTTCTTCTGCCATACCCAAGTTTCACTTCCGTACATGAGTGTCTGAACCAACACCCCCTCATGCACAGCCAAACGAGCCTTGTTAGACACCTTCCGACTGCTCATAAGGGAGTGCAAAGCTCCATTCACCATGTTTCCTGCATTCACTCTTCTTTCGATATCACTCTCACACTTTCCATCTCTTGTAAACTTTGAACCCAGATACACAAACTCTTTCACCTGTTCAATTTGTTCATCTTCAATCACAATATTGCATCTGTCACTGCCTCATCTTTTTCAAACACCATCACTTTCGTCTTCCTTACATTCATCTTCATTCCCTTTCTAACAAAAGCTCCACTCATAACAGTTACCATCTCCTGCAACTCCTCGGCCGAAGACGCAAGTAATACGCCAAATCTTACTTATCCCGCATATATCATATAAAACTACAGTCCACCTTGCTTCTCTAATTTTTCTTCAGTGTATGATATATTAATGTGCAGTTGATAGTGAATTACAGCTTTCTTAATATAAAAACTTTAAAAAATTATGAGTAATTCATCAGTCGAATTTCGACCACTGAACAACCACAAGTTTATTTAATTATTTAAATCTTACCGTCGCCTGCGCAATGGCTGCTCGAATATGTACTTCCTTTTCGCACAGGTAACACCATATTCGCTCCGTAGATACGTTCATATGAACGCAATGCAGTGGGTAATTCTAAAAAGAAAAAGAACGTTAAAGCATACATCATCAGATCGGATCAAGCAGAGCCACAGCCGCCATATCATGCGTTGCACTTTTCAAGGTTGTAAGGGTAACCCAAACGGTTCCTTAGGTTTATTAAATACTTATAAGCTAAAAAAATGGGTATAATTTTATTTTAGAACATAATAGGGTTATGTATGACTTTATTCGTTTTAATACATAATTTGCTTATTACAATATTATAGTTACTGGCTGGCTCCGCAGACGTTGATCTGACTTTTTCGATAAGTTTGATTGGAAGATAAAATCTATGCTTTACCGCACCACAAATAGCAATAGCTCGACCAGAGCGCCTTCTAACGGGTCCACATATATTGGTTCCTTTTTGACACTAAACCAACATAATACATTATGAAACAGTCATATTAGTCCATAAATATAGAATTTATGGACTAATATGCACACCGCCCATAGGTTATGGCCATCCTACAGTAGTAGACGGCTCCGTGACCGAGTGCCTTAGCAATGAGTTGTTGCGCTGGGGCCGCGGGTTCGGATCCCGCAAGGAACAAGTATTTGTATGGCCTACAAATAATTGTTCCGAGTCTGGGTGTTTGTCCTCGTACAATTTATGTTTGTAAACGGCCTCCACGATAATCAGAATACTCAGATACAGGAGAGAATCATAGTGTGGGGGTAACGTTTATTTAAAAAAAAAAAGTAATGAACATCGTCTCGACAAAACATATTTTCTCAATACGACCATAATCGGTTAATTCCTTTAGATATTACACGATCAGACAGCCAATAGACGCAAGGTCCCGACAAAGGGCAAGCCCAACTTTTATATATTTTCCGGCCGTGTAGTGGCGGTTAAGGCCGTGTAGTGGCGGTTAAGAATATCCACTACCCCATATCTTCCCGTGGGTGTCGTAAAAGGCGACAAAGGGAAACAGGCAGGAGATGGGCAGCAGCATCTTCCTGATAATAGCCAAAATAACAATAAAAAACTGCGGTTGCCAACCCGCTCGCCAAGCGTGGCAACTATGGCAAAATACCCCCCATGAGCAATGACAATAATAAACGGCCCCCAGTCCCCGGCGGCCCCGCTATTCCTGGCTACGGTGGCGACCATGGTAACGGCGGGGCAGGGGGTGCTAAGAATCTCCGGTGGAGGTTCGGTTGCCACCTACGACGACTTGACTTGGCAACATACAACGCACGCACCCTGAGTACTGACGAGAAGATTGTGTAGCTGGAAGAAGAGATAGACAAGTTACGCTGGCAAATTATAGGATTATCCGAAGTCCGAAGAGAGGGGGAGGACACGGTAATCCTCGAATCCGGCAACTTGCTCTATTACCGGGAGGGCGACCATCTGTCCCAAGGAGGTGTCGGATTTATCGTCCACAAGTCTCTCGTTAACAACGTTGTAAAGATTGAGAGTGTGTCGACGAGGGTTGCGTACCTTATACTCAGAATCACCAAACGGTATTCGCTAAAGGTCATACAGGTTTACGCACCAACCTCGGCACACCCCGATCAGGAGGTGGAGGAAATGTATGAGGATATCTCTAGAGCCATGCATTCCTCCAAAACCCAATATACGGTGTTAATGGGAGACTTCAATCCAAACTAGGCACAAGAGAGAACGGTGAGCTGAAAGTAGGGAAATTTGGAATAGGGCAACGGAACCCAAGGGGCCAGCAGCTGGCCGACTTCATGGAGAAAGAGGGACTCTTTATGATGAACTCTTTCTTCCAGAAGCGGCCCCACAGGAAGTGGACCTGGTCGAGCCCTGACGGTTCGACAAAAAATGAGATTGACTTTATTATGACTACCAGACGACAACTGTTCAGTGATGTCTCAGTGATCGCGAGGGTGAAAACCGGCAGCGATCACCGAATGGTTAGAGGCACACTGAACCTAAACGTTAAGTTGGAGAGGTCTCGTCTAATGAAGTCAACGCTCCGTCCCCCTCGTGCTCTAATCCAAAGTCCCGAAACCTTTCAGCTCGAGTTACAAAACCGTTTTCAGTGCCTAGAAGACTGCAATGAAGTGGACGATTTGAATGACAAGCTCGTGGAAACTGTCCATGCGGTCGGAGCTAAGTTCTGCAAGACCCGCCGCAGAAGAACACAAAAACTCTCCGATCACACTCTTAATCTCATGGCTGTTAGACGGGAGATGAAGCTACATTCTTCAACAGATTTAACAGCATACAGGCAACTGAACAGACAGATCTCCCAATGCATGCGGCGGGACTTACGCAAATTCAATACAGCTCGTATTGAAGAAGCGATCGAGCGGAACCAAGGCTCCAAAGTCTTTGCCAGAGATCTGTCTGCCAGAAAGCGCCAACTGTCAAAGCTGAAGACAGAATGTGGCAGCATCGTTTCCGGGGCACCTGAGATTTTGAGTGAGATTGAGAGGTTCTATGGGCAGCTGTACACGTCATCGTTGGAGCCGCACGCAAGTGTGAGTAACGATCCAAGAGCGAGTCTTATCCGACATTATTCCGATGATATCCCGGACGTCAGTCTGAGCGAGATTAGAATGGCTCTCCAGCACCTTAAAAACGGCAAGGCCCCAGGCGAGGATGGAATTACAGCGGAGCTTCTGAAAGCGGGTGGAAAACCGGTACTTGAAGTCCTTCAGAAGCTCTTTAATTCCGTCCTCCATGGTGGCATTACACCGGAGGCGTGGAGCAGAAGTGCGGTGGTCTTGTTCTTCAAGAAAGGCGACAACGCTCTCTTGAAGAACTACAGACCGATTTCCCTTCTGAGCCGCGTCTACGTGCTGTTTTCGAGAGTCATTACGAATCGTCTCGCGCGCAGACTTGACGACTTCCAGCCTCCCGAACAAGCCGGTTTCCGAAAAGGCTTTAGCACCATAGACCACATACATACCCTTCGGCAAATTGTACAGAAGTCCGAGGAGTACAATTTGCCACTATGTCTGGCGTATGTGGACTATGAGAAAGCCTTTGATTCCGTCGAAATTTGGGCGGTGCTGCAGTCCCTTCAGCGATGCCAAGTTGACTGTCGGTATATCGAAGTGTTGAAGTGCTTGTACAGTAGGGCTACGATGGCTATCCGAGTACAGAACCAGAGTACGAAACCTATCCAATTGCAGAGAGGTGTAAGACAGGGTGACGTCATATCCCCGAAACTCTTTACCGCTGCATTGGAAGATGTTTTCAAGCTTCTGGACTGGAAAGGATACGGTATCAACATCAATGGCGAGTACATCACTCACCTTCGATTTGCCGACGATATAGTCCTTATGGCAGAATCGCTGGAGGACCTAAGCACTATGCTCAATGACCTCAATAGTGTTTCCCAACGGATAGGTCTTAAGATGAACATGGACAAAACAAAGATCATGTTTAATGTCCATGTCACACCTATGCCGGTAGTTGTTGGGAACACTAAGCTCGAAGTTGTTGACGAGTATGTTTACCTGGGACAAATAGTCCGACTAGGTAAGTCCAACTTCGACCGAGAGGTCAATCGACGGATTCAACTCGGTTGGGCAGCGTTCGGGAAATTACGGCACATCTTCTCGTCAGGTATACCTCAAAACTTGAAAACGAGACTGTACACCCAGTGCGTGCTGCCAGTGATGACATACGGAACTGAGACGTGGTCCTTCACTGCTGGCCGGATGAGGAAGCTCAAGGTCGCTCAGCGAGCTATGGAGAGGGCTATGCTCGGAGTTTCTCTGCGTGATAAACTCAGAAATGAGGATATCCGCAGTAGAACTAGAGTGACCGACATAGCCCAACGGATTAGTAAGCTGAAGTGGCAATGGGCCGGCCATATAGCTCGAAGAACCGACAACCGATGGGGAAGAAAGGTTCTTGAGTGGCAGCCTCGTACCGGCAGGCGAAGTGTAGGGCGTCCCCCCACTAGATGGAGTGACGACCTGGTAAGATATGCAGGAAGTCGATGGATGCAGGTGGCTCAGGACCGTGCTTTGTGGCATTCTTTGGGGGAGGCCTATGTTCAGCAGTGGACTTGTGAGGGGCTGTAATGATGATGATGACCTTGATTTTTCGTAGTTAGCAGAGACAACAAGGTGAAAGAAAAAATTGTGTTAATGTAACAATAAATTATATATAATCACAACTTTTAACATAATTATATAATAAATTAAAAACAAGCATTCATCATTATTATTATTTATGTATTTATTGTATATGCTATTAGGTACTTCTAACTTCATTGTCCGCGTGACGAGAAAATATTATATGTGTTATTTAAAACGATTAGGTACCTAGGTAAAATATTTAAATCTCTCTCTTTTAATGAAAATCTTAGTCTTTAAATGGTGGTCCGCGGACCACTGGTTAGGAATCACTGTTATAGATACATAGAGATAACAGAATCTGTTGAAATGCAAAGCAAAGCTTTATTTTTTATAGGTATGTCGATGAGTTGTAAATCCGTAACAATAGGATCTATAAATAACGTAAGCGCGTCTTTGTGTCGAGAAATATACAATTGGGGTTCAAAGTTCTCCCGCGCGATACGCAAACTCAATATCCTGCTAAGATCTGAACAAATACGTTTTACGGCTAATTGCCATTATGACGTAATGTCGTCAATTAAAAAAATAAACAGGTGGATTAAAAGCGTGCGAGCAATTTAGTTTACTTTTGTGTTTTCTATAAAGTTCGCAATATCGCACTGAGGAAGCGTAGTTGATGTTCTACATTACGTATAAAGTGAAACAAGTCATGATTTTACTTTTTTACACAAAGGATAACAAACACGCAAAACAACACAGTCATCCTAGTGATAAATGCCAGTTTTTTTTTTCCATAAGGGCGATATATGAACGGAGTCCACCTGATGGTAAGTGGATTTTGTGACATAGATATCTATATCTATTCTATATTCGGCTAAGGATCAAAATGCAAATGCGTTGTCACCCCTCAGAACTAAGATGGAATGGGTGACTCGCTTCGGCTTCGGCTTTCGGCAAATACTTATAATAAAGCAGTTTCCGATCTACGAGACCGTATTTCAGAGTGAGCTTCTGGTGTAGACTCCTGGCTACTATATTGTCTGTGCAAGTACTCAGAGTAAGAAAGAACCGAACAACCAGAGATGAAACGCCTAAGTGACTCACCGGGATGGCGACAATCTCGACAGATGTCCGGACGCCATCCTTTAGGATGTATCTCCGTAGTTGTTGATCTTAATAACCTGATCCTGTATTGCACAGACAAAACTCTCGGTTTCCCCAAAGAGGTCACCGAACCGTAGCCAGTAAAGGGAGGCGACCGTATCTACGAAAGGCTCATGTAGAGCCTTGTAGAACCTCCCATGGAGCTCATTCTTCCATACGGTCTCACGGTCGGAAATGCTCTGTACTGCCGTGTCTTGCCATTTCTCGTTGGCTAAGGATAGAGGGGTAAGCCAGTAGAGAAATGACGTCCTTCCAGATTGGATCATCCGATCTTGTCAGGAAGCTGGACACTTCGCGATTATGCATGGTGAACACGCTTAAAAAGCCACGCCCATCATGCTTCCGCGGCAAGTACAGCCTCATTACTAACGATCTCGGATGGTGCATGCTATGGGAAGTCATAGTAGTGCGGACTTTTCTATCCAAGGCGTTAAGTTCAATTTCAGACCACCTGGATATGCCTAAGGTATAACATGAGAAAAGGCATGACCCAACCGTTATATGCGTGTGTTACCGTGTATTATTCATGCCCGACAAAAGGCTATTAAGCACTTTGGTCAAGCGTGCATAAAATAGATTGCAAACTGATTGTTTCATGTCTGCCTTATCAATACATATATTTTGTGACATACCCAGGTATCGGTATGTTTCAGCCTCGGAAAGGGTCTTTAGGTTAATGGGCAGTTATAAGTCTATGCCCTCAGAGTTAACCCTAACCCTCACAACATGGCGGACTATTATTAAGTGGCGAAGCTTGCGAAGTCACTTATTAAGTGGCGAAGCTTGCGAAGTCACTTATTAAGTGGCGAAGCTTGCGAAGTCACTTATTGATTTCACGATGTCTGTCCGTCTGTCCCACGATTATCTCGAGAACGGTTTCGAATTTTCAAATTCTGTTTTCAGCAATCGATTACTGATCACCCAGGCATCTGAACCTCCTATTTTGAAACTGATTGCTCAACGGCAACCGTTACAAACCGCTACAAAGCTGATTGCTTCGCCACTTTGCTATGCTGTTAGCTTGCTAGGTTTATTGATTTCACGATGTCTGTCCGTCTGTCCCACGATTATATCGAGAACGGTTTTGAATTTTCAAATTCTGTTTTCAGCAATCGACTACTGATCACCCAGGCATCTGAACCTCTTATTTTGAAACTGATTGCTCAACGGCAACCGTTAGAAACCGTTACAAAGCTGATTGCTTCGCCACTTTGCTATGCTGTTAGCTTGCTAGGTTTATTTTCTCTGTTCATATGCCATATTATAAAATAATCATATTTTTTTAGCTTATTTAACTACTACTATAACTTTTATGTTTAATCATCAAACAAATTGGAAGTTAACAGTAGTTATACGCAGTAATACTGAGAAAAATTAAAAAAGAATTATTCTCAGAAAATTTACATGATGGAATTTTCTTATTATTTCTTTCGTAGCTTAGTACATAAAACCTAACTAAATTGCTAATTCGTTTTTATGAGGAATAACATCCCAGGCCTGTTAGTTAGTAATCCGATCTGTTCCTAATTTGGTTTATGGTTTGTGCTGATATCACTTCTGATGGCAGCTGGTTAAATGCTTCAACCACGCTTTGGCTAAAAAACTGTCATTGTGACAGGGCTTTAGTCAATTTGAGTTGATGTCCTCTAAGATGTGTATTGTATGAGTACTGGAATGATAGTTTGTCGAAATTTTTTAATTCACTGTCCATTTGTTATTTTTATGTTTCAATTCAATCCAGTCTTCTTGTTCTCTGCAATCTTACAGTCATATTTGTTACTTAAGAAATATTTCAGTTAAAATCTCCATTGTATAATGAAATTTGTTGTATGATAACAGGGGGGCAAGTTACTTAACAGAAACATGGTTGAGCCACCCAACAGTGTTGGCTTGGATAGGAATGGATAGGAATTGGACAGATAGTGAGTGACGTGAATCATGAACACACTGAACACACACACTGGGCCAACAAAACAGTTTGATTAGTTATGACATACCCTCACTAGCTCTTAAAATTTGCTAGTTGGTGAGCTGCTTTTGAATAAAGCGGAAAGAAAGAAAGAAACTTTATTCTGGCACAGACAAATAAAGAAAATAACAAATTAAAATTATGTCTACAAATTATATTATATAAATCACTTAACTTACTTCTACCTCATACAGAATATAAAACAGATCTTAAGAAGAAACATCAACCAACAAAATGACAATTAGACTGCACTTCAAACCAAAGTGTAATATTTAGTTTGCAGTACCTTTTGGTGTATTGTGCTGTGGTCATTTTTTACTTCAGAGCAGCCAATGTGGTGGCAGTCAGGTTGTAGGCAGATCCAGAGATTGGGTCCAGGACAACCACAGTCGAAGCATGCGAGGTTCTAGAAAGAAAATGAATGCAATAAATATGTTTCATTTTGTTGATATTCCTATCCTAAGATAATAACTGAAAGTTGTGACAGCTCAGAGGAACTGTGCTCACTCTAAATTTTAAAATATGCCGATTATTAACTTGAATTTGCAGTAAGAATAATCCCTTACACCATATTGTCCAGTAGGTGTCATTAGAGGTGACGAAAGAAACTGAAAAAAGGAGATGGGCAGCGGCATCTTCCTGATAACAATTTAAAATATAAATAAATGTGGTTACCAACCCGCTTGCCAAGTTTAGCAACTGTGGCAAAATCCCACTATGAGGCAATCTATTACAGAGGCCTATGTTCAGTAGTGGACTTTGATAGGCTGTAATGGATTATAGATTTAGAATTTTGTTTCCATTCCATTGCATGTGCATTGTTTGGGGTAACTCTCATTGCCACACCCCAATCATATTTAAATAGAATAAGGGTGACAAACGAGCACACAGTCCACCTGATGGTAAGTGGTTGCTGTGGCCCATAGACATCTACATCTATCTTCGTTTGCGAATTAAAATGCAGATGCATTGTCAGCCATGAGGACTAAGATGGAATGCCTCTTTTCCAGTAAAAAGGGTCTCCGGTTCTTTACACTCACCATACGAAACACAGCAGCATTAAGTTGCTATTTTACGCTGATATTCAAAACTTTCTGGACTTATCCATTGTCGTTGCTTATGAACCTACACATTAAAATTGTGATGTGACATAGTGTTCATTTTAATATTAGAGATACGTATGACAAATAAGCAATAGTTCACCTGATGGTAACTACATAACATCTACCTCTATCCTTAATTAAGAATCCACATGAAAATGTGTTGTCACCCCTGAGAACTAATACGGTATGCCTCTTAACCAGTAAAACTGTGGATTATAATGCTAACTCATTGTGATATATATGTGTCCTCATTTAGTCATTCATTCATTAACTATGATTTTTTTTTCTAAATTAGCAACTTCCAATGGATTCTGCCAGCGTCAAGTATTTCATGAGGGTCACACAGAGTATTGACTAGTTTCCGTTTCCATAGATGCGCTTACTTAGCTTTATGTTACGAACTTACTTATGTAGTTATTTTCGAATGAATTAACATTATAATAGTTTTACAAAATTATTAGTAACTGTAAGTGGCAAAAGTACTATAGTTTAATGTTATTAATGGAAGTCTAATAAAGTTTGTACTAAAGGAGTGTAAACTAAATCTTACAAAACTTAAGATTTACAGGACGAGGGATGTTATTAGGAAGAAAATTGTATAATGAAACGGAGAGGTTAGGGCAGTTAAAAAATTTATGATCAATCGTACCTTCGTCTAATCCACACTCACAAATTGAGCTATCTTTAATCTTAAGTTTTGCTAAAAATACAGGTGAACAAGTGTGTCCCAATCTAATCTAAACTTTGAATAACCTGTAATAAATATCCCCATATCTGCCATAGTTGTCACACTTGACAGACAAATTGACAACTGCGTTTTTTATAATTTTGAGTTGTTGTCAGGAAGATGGTGCTGTACACTTCCTTTTTCAGCTTCTCTTTTCTTTTTTATAGGATAGGGTGACAAGTGAGCACACAGTCCATCTGATGGAAGTGGTTGCTGTGACCCATAGACTTCTACATCTATCCTCAATAAAGAATCAAAATGCAGATGCGTTGTCACCCGTGAGGACTCAGATGGAATGCCTCTCTATGTTGCTTCTTATGTTACGGAATGATATGAAGTGGAGGATTCTCTGATAGTGTCACTACAGAATAGAATCCTAAAAATAAATGAGAACACAAAACTTGGAAAGACAAACTGAAGCAGGTAAGCAGACTTTATATCCTCTCAGTAATTAAAGGAGGCCTGTGCCTGGCAATGGGACACCGGCTCATACAAAGGTGACCGTCCAAAACACTTTTTATGTATGAATAAATTTTAATCATCATTTAGACTAGTTATTGTGTGATCTTGTCATGCTGAAGTACAAAGATACATTCGCTTAAGCACATATGTTCTTTTTATCTATATACAATGTGTCTTCAAGGCACTAGTAAATGGACTTTTGTTAGACTAAGTCAATACGCATTACCATCTTCGACTGCATCACCACTTGCTATATGCTGTATGTATCAAGGAAGTGGACTCTTACAGTTTCTTCAGGAACTGTTTATCTAATTTTATTTTTTGTGTTTGAAAGAAAATTATATATTAATATCTTAAAAAACGTTCTAATCAAACAAAATAAAATCTTGTTCCAGTTCAAGTAGCCTACAATCACCAATTCAGCTAACATTATAGACTATGTTGCTTTTAAATAATGGGCTTTTGTTAGGCTATGCCAGTATGCATTACCGTCTTCGGCTGTATCATCACTACAGATTGTATATTTGGATGCAAAAGTTGAGATGTTGCCTATTTTTTTATAGGAGGGGGGGGGCAAACCGACCATGAACATTTTATGAAAAACAAGAAAGATAAATGAACTCTTATTGAAATTTGTTTTATTTTAACAGTACCTATTAGGACAGATAACAAATAAAATAGGTTAGGTTCAACTTATGTCAAAGAACTGAATTGATTGACCCCGACTCCACCTGGTACGAGTCTGTCCTACCCCTAGAGTGTTTTTATAGAGCCGGAGGCGCATAGGGGAGCAGACTCTGCCTGCTGTAACAAATCGTAGGCATCAGATGAGCCCGAAGCTGCAAGGAGGGATGCCTGCGATTTGTTACGCAAAGGCTGCTCTTCTTGCAGCGCCGGAGACGTTCCAGTCTCAAAATAGATACAGAAATCCCTCTTAATCAGTCCCCCTATTTTTTTCTGATGAACGGGATTTTTTTGTCATAAAATGGATTTATATTAACATTATAAATGCAAACATGAAAAAATATTGAAATTTTAGAAATCCTTTTTTTTTGTGCATCGATACATCAGCTTACGATTCAAATCGATTTATAAAATCGATCTTTTTCGGAAAGAATCGACATCCCTACTGACGATGACAATGACAATACAAAATAGCGTCAGTTTTACGGTAGGAATTGACATAAATATTGCAAAACAAGTTGATTTTCAATTTTTTTTCTCAAAAAGTACACGTTTCTTCATGTTGAAACTTTGCATGTGTGCTTATAATAATGTAACCTTACTGTAAAAAAATTATCAACCCCCAACTCAATGGACATCAGTGGAGATTGGCATAAAAGGTGTTATTTGCCAATTTATATGAAAAGTTAAAAAAAATGTATCTCATGAACCGTTTCCACAATCTAAAACTTTGCAAAACACTTTCTTTTAGTGAGTACTATCCACTAATATGGGCATTTAAATCGATGGTCCATATTGGAAAGTTTAACCTTTTAATAATATAGGATTATTGTTATTTTATTAGGATTATTGTTAATATTTAGAAAAAATTTCAAAAAATTCTTTAAAAAAATGTAAACAGCTCAACACAATAGTCTATTAACAAAAGATTATTTATTAAAGATTTGCGTAATAATATCCAATAATATGGAGTGAAAAGTATAGTGCACTGCATATGACAACCTTGTTGAAGAATGCTACTTACCTATTCCACTGGATGATAGAGGTTAGGTATCATTGAAATTGACTCTACTTACCTCCTTTGATTGCCATAATTCTTTCCCAAGGACGTCAACAAGTTTATTGAGATGCTCACAAGTCACGCCCTTATCCATTACGAAAAATAACAAGGTTTGGAGCTGAAGTTTATGTAAATATGAACAAAATTTTAAACATTAATTATAGATATCGTAAATACAGGAAACACCATTTTTACACTTCAATAGACCAGAAAAGAAAATAGAGAGGAGAAGATAGATACACATGAAACAGACATAAAAGACACATTTCGAAGTTAAAGTCAGGTAATGATTAAAAATTACAGAAATTTCCTACAACAAAACGTTCCGTGACGAGCAAAAAGTCAGATCAAATACACAGACTAACTAGTAGATTCTAACCGAATATCAGATACCACAGATACATACTAGGCGTGTGTATCTCTTTACGGAAACGACTCACTGATACGAATCACTGAAGTGACACAAAAGATTGGTTCAGTAACAACGTTTCAAATGTATCATTTGTATCTGGAACAGTGAAACATTACTTTGCTATTTGCTCATTTCGCGCGACGCGACGCTTGCGAGGCGACTGAGCCACGAGCGAGAGATTGAGACTGAGACGATGATTAACTTAACTATTGACTCACGAGTGGCGAGTGAGCGGGCGAAATAATTATAATCCACACAAGTCAGATAGAGATAACAAATAAGAAGTGTATCACTCAACTCGTACGGATTTTCGCTGAGGTTATTCATGCACGTAAAAATTACCACTAAGGCACTTATGTGTCAAATACTATACGGTCGTTTTTTGTATGTAACGTTTGCATTAACAAGTTGTCATTTTACGTTGATGCGGCACTTGTCAAATTGTTTATATTCATTAGCGCCTGTTTACGAAAACATACTGAGCTATGTTTAGGATTTCTTTGCATAGTGATTATTGTAACTTTACTTTCTTCCTTTTCATCATAAAGTTTAGAGTTATGATACTTTACGAGTAAATTCTGTGTACATAGACATTGCTGGGATTTGTTACCTAACTTATCATAAGGGCTAGTATGGGAAAGAAAATATTCCAATAGTATTAAAATTGCTGGAATATAAATAAAATGTCATTAGATACATAATTAAACAAAAATACTTTAGTGATTAAATTTATTAAAACTCATCATTAGAAAACTACTAAGCACTAGTTAGTTAAGTTATATAACAGAATAAATTGGTTATATTAATTGGTTCCATGGCGCAGTGGCTTAGCAATGAGTTGCAGCGCTGGGGGCCGCGGGTTCGAATCCCGCATGGAACAAGTATTTGTATGGTCTACAAATAATTGTTCCGGGTCTGGATATTTGTCCTTGTGCAATTTGTGTTTGTAAACTTCCTCCACAATACAGCAGAAAATCCGACTGTGGGAGTAACTGTTTTTTTTTAAATTATGACGAGTGAAGCTAGTCATATTTAATTGTCTTTGATAGCCTAAAATAGCGTAGCAGAGCTATGCTGCAGCTTATAAACACTATATTATGGTTGTAATTATTAATTAATTAGTTGTTTTATTGATAAATGTGGCCCAGGTGGACTGTGCTTATTTGTCACCCTTATTCTATATAAAAAAGAGCCAAAGCTATATATACTGATTCTGATATTTCGATACTACTGCCGCCATTCTCAACGCTTGCGTCCAGCAAGACGTAAACTCTCATACTAAACGTGGCAGGCGTGTGTGTAAAGACAGCTCCGATTATGCCCCGATTGCTGAGCTCCCTAGATTGCCCCTGCGGCAGGCATGTCAGTAGCCGCCTTAAGAGTAAGATGATGAGGATACTCCAGTGTTGCCAGACATTTTGAATGAACGATCGTACGATGGGTAAATAAAAAGTCGTATTCCCTAATAAGGTAATTAAATAAAAATAGTACATTTTTTAAAACTTTGTTTTATTAAATTATACAAAAATTGGAAAGTAAAAACTCAAAATTATTAGTCTTTATATCCATATAAAATCTTACTGTTCATATTATTTAACATTTTTCTTGATGGAGAAAAATCAACACAACAACCAAAGCGTTTTATAAGTTTTTTGGCTAATAGCTTGCTGTTCACAGACTAATTACTGAGCCTATTTCGGATTTTCGTTTTGATGAGATTTACTGAAGTGAAGCACCGTTCACAATCCGCATTAGAGTGAGGAAGGCATAGCAAATCGAGAGCAAATTTTGCTATATTCTGAAAGTCATCTAACGCACATATTACTGCCCAAAATTTATCTGGCGGGACCGGGAGAGTCATATCAACTTAATAAAGAACAGGGGTAATCTTCTCCACTCATCGTCCACATTTTGCATTATTTCTTCACTTACAATCCGAGGTACAATTGTCATAAGAGGGAACAAAGTATTTGCTTTGTTTCTGCATGATTCTGATAAAGCATTGGTAGAAAATGTAAAAAGTCATATGAATTGCGTACGAATTTTATGTTTCGAACGTACATGCATATAACTCTTAAAAAATTGTAGGAATACGATTTAAATCGTACATCTGGCAACACTGGTATACTCTGAATAGTTTGTGGCACAGACTAACTAGTAGACTAGATCACAGAATAATTTTACTCCTAGCGGAGAGACTAGATTCTACCCGAATGTTTGTGGGGTACTCACTGACACTGATACTCACGGGGTACTCATACTCAGATCATAGACTTGGAATATTTGACACAGATACGTACCACAAACAATTCGATTACGATTCTATACCACAGAGTACATTAGCTCAGTGACATCGATATATATGTACCACGTACGTACGTAATATATATAACTCTACATATAACTCTCTATCTTGCTACATATATATTTATCTATGCTCTCTATATCTAGTCCCACTTAGATTTTTGAGTTTTTTTTTATTTTTAAATAATTGTTCTTGGTGTGATCGTTATTATTCTAACATAAAAATGGTTGATTCGTCTTGTAATTAATTGAACAAATTTCATCCCTAGGTTCATAATTTATTACAAGACCCATACATAAATATTTGTGATTATCCACTTATTTAAACGACTATTACAAGTAACGGCCCCATAAGAATGTTTAACTAAACAAATGGAAGACTTGTAACTAGTAGAATCGAGTAGAGTGAGTGAGATGTAGAATATTAAATGAAACTAATTTTTACGGATTCTATCGTGTTTAATTTACCTTTTTCATTCCCTAAGTTTCGGGGGACTGAGGTGTTTGACGTTCCTATGTCATAGTAAGCTCGGCTATTGTTTTAGAATATTAATATTTGGTCCGATATACGCAGAATGAGCTTATACTATCTTGAAGTCTTGCAGCGGTAATGCTTGGGTTTGGATTTAATTTTATTAATTATAGGATCACAAGCAAATGGCAGCACCCATCCATTTTATAGATATTTTTAAATTTCAATAGCATCGCGAATCATCTTTGGTAGGAATCAGTGTTCTTTTACGAGGATTTATGGTCTGTCAATGGCAGGGGCGATCTTCAATATGTTGTTTATTCATTTCATTTATACATTTATTGAAAAATTTTGAGAGACAACTAGCAATTGCGGTCAGCGGTATTAGTGCGTACTGTTCTAGCAACAAAATAATTACAAGATACTAGTAACCTCGACTGGCTATACCCTACAAAAGATTTATGCCGATTTGAAGCGCTGCCATTGAGTGTACCGGGAACTAAATACGTAATTTGCAAATATCTAAGGGTGTATTAAAAGTTTTAAACGAGAAAAATGTGTGTGTTGTGTAGTTCAGTTATGTTTCATTTAGTAATATAAGAAAGTATTTTTAGTAACAATGATAATTTAAAATTCTTTACCAGAAGAGAAGTGTGGTGACATTCCACAGGTAAGGGGATTCACAGCTTATATAAAAAAAAATGAAACTTTATAATAATATAGGCTCTTAAAACTTTGTAACTTATCTTATTTAATGTAATTTCTAAAATGTTTGGCTTTGAATTTTGATAAATAATAAAATTCAATAGCGTAGACGAGCTCCTTGTCGATAATTCTTATCGATGTTTTTTTACCTATATCTGTTTACAATAATGAAAATCGCAGACAACAGACATTTTTCAATTTACAGGTTTCTAACTGACTCTATACTAAAGTGTGACTAAAAAGCATAAAACTTGTGAATTGGCACCCGAAGCAAATTGATTATGACGTCAATTATTTGTAGTATGGTATTCATTGAAGAAAGTAATTTAAACTTTGTAAAATTCTAATTTTACCTATAGATGTTGTTGAATTAGGCATAATATTTAACAGCTTTTTAATTTTTTCTATTAATTTTGACTAAATAAATTATTTACAAAATTTTTTATTTTATTTTGTAGTTACCTACTCCAGTTTTTGCTAATCATTGGAACTTTTTAAACCTTTCGAATGAATCATACATACCCAATGGTGAAACTCGGAACAGAACCCGTTTTATAGTTATGAAGAAAAACGTAGGTAGACTAATGCATAGTCGATGAAGCTTGTGTCTAAGACATAAGTATTAATGGATACATTTATTTAATGTATGGCATTATATTAAAATGATACATAAACAGTATGGTACGCCTTCGTATAAATTTTTTATCAATATATTTTGTTACACTGTCTTATTTCTATTATAAGGTATGAGGTATTTTCCGAACCAGTGGTAAATAAAAAATGACTTTCAATAAGTATTATGAAATAATCAATATTGAATAAAAATCATTCTATTCTATTCTATTACTTCCATGGACGGTCATTTCTGACGCTAAAATGGCGAATATAAAATCGCCTCATTATATCATGGTGTATATTCCAGAGTAGGTATTTGTAGAGCGTAATAGAGGTAAGTGAAAACGATGTAACAAGAAAGTGCTGTGTTATCGTGCTCATACAAATCTCAAGTTTTTCTAACTCCTAATATCCCTATGACACTAAACCACGGAGCAAATACAAAGAGGAGACGGCCTAAGCAACTATGCACTGTGATTCAAACTAGATCCTGACATCATTACAGTGGGAGTGGCATTATGTGTAGAAAATCGCAAATCGGCGTATTTTCGTAGTATTAAGAAGAAAAGGGTGAAGTGTTGTGTTT